CGACAGGGATTGAACCGGCGCTGCAGAGGCCGCTGACAGCTTCACAGAGAGGCATTCAACCGCCTGGCCACCAGGGGAGGCCCCTTTCATTATATTTTGTGTTAGTATTTTTTATTGGTTTTTGGTGTGTATTTACTTTGCAATAAGCAACTTTCCTGGATCTAGTTGATTCACTTAATTTTAGGAATGATAAATTTGCCTTCATCTTTTCAACATGTATGCCTCTTTCTTCTCTCTCCGTCTTTTGCAGTGTCTGGAGCTAGATTCCAAAACAACTACTCTGTCTTCCAGCAGACACTGTGTCATTTTGTTTTAGGTTTGTTTCTTCTAGACACCATTAAGCTGGAAACTATTTTTTTCCCCAACACATCTGCGAGCCTGTCCTTTAATCCATTTACCAAGAAGAATGTTTCTTTTTGTTCCCCCGCCTTACATTTTGGTTTGATTTCTTGCCCCACCACTTTTCCTCTGTAGTAGTTTAGAAGTTGTCATATCTGTTTCCTTCTACTGCCAGTCACCTTATATTTTCCACATATTTAAACTTGAATTAAAAACAGTGGACTTGGGCCTCCTGATGGTGCAGCGGTTGAGCGCTGGGCTGCGAAGCTGCTTGCAGCCTCTTTCAGCAACGGTTCGATCCCTGGCCGCCGGCGAGGGTCCCACATGGCGCGCAGACCTCTCCTGCCGCCCGCTGCTCCCCTCAGCAGTGTACTTCGTCAGTCTGCCTGCTCTGCTCTCCCCTCTGGCTCTGGTGAATTCTCTCACCCTCCCGCGCTTCTGACTGTACCCAGTGCTTGTGTAAATAAATAAATAAATAAATAAATAAATAAATCTTTAAAAAACAAAAACCAAAACCAGTGGACTTGTAGCTTCTACCTTAGCACGACCAGAACCTTCTTTCATTTTCACTTTTTCAGTGGATTTTTTTGGGCTGAGCTTCATGGAAGTACTTCTACCTCATCATGAAACATGTCATGTCGGGAAGAGCCATTCCTTTCTGTATCAGTGTGGCATTTCAGGAACGAGTGTCATAAGACATGTCTTCTTCAGCTTCTAAGATTCCCTGTGCCCTGACTCTGTGCAGAGTCAGTTCCATCTCTCCCGCGTGCCAGGACCATCCCTTCCTGGTCATGGTGTGCTTTTGTTTCACTCATCTGTTGGCTTCAGATTTTTACTGTCTTTTTTTAGAACATGTTTAATTTATGCATTTGTCCAACAGACGCCCTGTGCTGGGTCTTGGACTCTACCCAGGATGGGTACACTGCCCAGGAAAGGGGCACACTGCAGGCAGAAAACAACAAACACAGAGGTGGTGTGGATTGTGCTCCATAGATCACATGCTTGTCTAGACCAGCAGCAGATTATAGAATAAAGACTGTATTTCACTTGAAAAATATTGGTCCACATTCTGGAACATTCATTCGGAGTAAGGTAACTTATCTGTTCCTTAAACGTTAGGTAGAAGTTGCCTGTGAAACTAGCTAGGCCTGTTTTCCTTTAAGGGGTTGATCTTGGGCAATATTTTAAGTTTTATTTCCCTTGGTTGTTGGGCTTAGATGGTTTGCATTTTCTTCGAAATTAGTCATTTCATCCAGAATATAAATCCACAAAAAGGAAGTTATAAACATTCTTCAGATTCTGAGAAAGTATATTTTCCTTGCATGTGGTTCTTAGTCCTTTTTCTACTTATACCATTAAATCTTTGCATTTTCCTTTTCTTCTTTTTTTCTTGGTAGGACAAGGTGCTTATCTATTTTTGTTGTTTTTTAAAGAACGAACTGTGGACTTCTTTTTTCAAGTCTGTGATTTTCTGCTTTCTCATGCATGAATTTTCCCCTTTTTGTCTTTATTAATTCCTTCTCCAGTGTCCTGAGCTGAATATGCAGTAATAAATAATTAATGACGATAACAAAAATTTATTTTCATTTTATCTTCTTTAATATTAAAAGGGTATGATCAGGGATACTTATTTTTTCTGCACTCTAATTATAGATATTTGTTTTTACTTTAGCATTTTTGAAAGTTAATTTTTCCCCCCATTGATGGATTGTTTCACACTTTGTTATTGGATTCTGGTTTTATTTCACTGTGGTATGAGAATGCCCATGTATATGATCTCTCTTTCCTTTTTTTCTCTGGGATCTAGTTAATCATATTTCTCAGGTAAGAGTCCTCACTCTGTCATCACTAGCTTGATTATCACTGCCTTAACTTCTCTCCATCATCTTCCCCCAAAAAGGCTCCTACCCTAATCTGTTTAATAGACATCATTAAAGATGATGTATTGTTGCTATATGATCATTTAATTTGCATAAAGACGATGCTACACATCCCCTCCTGTATTTGTTTATTGAGGAGTCTCAATTTGTTAGAGAATCCACATTGATTTTATTTCTTCAGGTCATTGCTCCCACATACCTTATATCAAGTTTTTCTACCTCCTCCAAACATCATTTTGGGCAGCATCCATAATTTTTAGTTGCTTTCAGTTATTACATGCCTGTCTTACTATAAGGTTCGATTTAAAAATTGATTTGCTTTAAACCTGACCAAAGCCTACCCATCTCCCTCCTCCTGTGCTTCTGGGGACTGGGGAGTTCTGCCTCTCGAGTGTCTTTCTCTGTCTTAATTTTCAGGATTCCCCTAGATGTGCTAAGTGTTGACCTCTAGTTGGTTTTATTTTATTATTTTTTTAAAGATTTATTTATTTTTGCATTCAAGAGCTGGGGTACAGACCAGAGGTGTGGAGGGTGAGAGGATTCACCAGAGACAGAGTGGGAAACAGAGCAGGCAGATTGACCTAAGTACACTGCTGAGGGGAGCAGCGGGCAAGACAGGAGAGGTCTGCCGTGCCATGAGGGTAGCTCCCTGGCTGGCTGGGGATTGAACTCGTGCTGCAGTGGCTGTGGACTTCTTCATAGGTTGTGTCTTAACTGCTTGTGCCACCAGGGAGGCCCTCTAGTTGGTTTTAGACGGCAAAGGCCTTGTCAAAATTCTTCATCTGTCTTCAGTGAGATTCGGTGTCCTTCATTGAACAGAGAGCCTCAGTTTTGCTACAAGTAAGCCCCTTCAGATTTGTCGATCTTGAGTATTATTTTAAAACAGCTGCTTCATCCTAAGTCATAAAGTCCAGACACTACATGTTTTTAATTAGCTTTTACCTTCTTAACTCTTGACATTTATCCTGCGGAGTGTTGTGATAGCAGCGTACACCTTCGTTTTTCTCTGTCTTTCCCTCACCATCTATTGCAGGGACCTCCTTCCCCACAGACACAACACTGAGGAAGGTCTCCTCACGTGCAGCATGGCCTTGGTTCTCCACGGCGCCACTGGTCTGTTTTTCTCTTTGCGCCACTACCACTCTTTCTATAATTATAGCTCTGAAATATCCCTCGCTCTCTCTTAACTTCTGGTGGGTCAGATTCCCCCCTAGCCTGACCAGTCTGTTCTTTCTCGAAACTGCCACAGAATTCGTGGACTGCTATCCTTCCATATCAGCTTTAGAATCAGATTGTCAAAGTCCTGAAAAGTCTCGCTGGTGTTTTATTTGACATTGCTTGAACTTTAGAGATGAATGTAAGGAGAATGGACATTTTATAATTTTTAAATTATTTTTACTCTATTGAATTGACACAAAAGAATATAAAATATGTATGGAGCATTAAGAATATAAAATATGTATGTCCCCACCACCCAGCCTATGAAATAACATGTTACCAGAAACCTCGAAGCTTCCTGTGCTAGTCCCCAAATCTCGAGCCACAGTCTCTGCTTCTGTGCTCTGGCATTTGCTGATGCTGTCTCTTCCCTGTGTGCAGGGTGATATTTTATTAAGAGGGAGGACTTGTTTTCTAGGGTGTTTTCTGTAGGGCCCTTCTGAACTATGGCTCAAAAATGGTTTCCCTCAGACAAAGTCCATATTTGTTTCTGCCAGATACCCGAGCGTATGACCACCCCAGGACCACTTCACATGTTAGCTCTGGCTCAAGTCAAGCGGACGCTGAGGGGTCCTGTTTGCAGTTTTTTCTCACCAGAAGGTGTGGTCCTCTTTGGAGGTGTAGCTTTTTCCAGGTTTCCTCTTAGGCCCCACTTGGTGGCCAAGCCCTGGGTTTTGGGCTGTGAAGACCAAAGCTGCATTTCACTGAATTTGGCAAATGCTTTTGGGGCAAAGCTGACTTCTGGGCTCTGTCGCCCACTCTCCCTTGGGCTTTGGGCTCTGAGGATCACCCAAGCATTTAATTACAATCACAATCTCACCTATTTGGTTCTCTTCGGCAAGGCTGAATCTATTCTGTGCTACAGAATGCCAAATTCTGAGAATGGACTTTTTTTTCGTAGTTTTATGTTGCCTCATCTGGAACAATAAGTAGATATGCTTTAATAGAGTATGTTCTTAGGTGTAGATCCTTTCCTGTTAAGTGTCTTATGGTCTCTTCATTAGATTATGTCCTGTAAATCTTGATTGGCCCTATATTTAAAAATACACATCAGAGGTTGAGATTGTGTGTGAGTGAGCTGTTTTACTGATTTATAAAACCTTTCAACAATACAGAAGGTAAAGAAAGATTTTTAGAAAACCATAAGAAACTGGCATTAGCAGGAATGACAATGATTACCCTTTAATGTCTGTTGTTGTAAACATTATTCTCATACATGTACCTGCTTTGCACAAAAAGTGGGGTCTGCTGTGCATTTCAAGTAGCTCTCCCTGCAAGCAGGATTGAAGAGGGTCAAGGGCAACAGCTTGGAGGTCCACCAGGATTTAAGGGGAGCAGAAGAGGAGGCCTGAGAGTTATGGTCTGAGAGTCAGCAGAGGCCAGTGTTGTCCTGGGCTTGGCCTCCCTCCCACCCCACCCCTGTACAACTTCTGTGTCCTCAGAGCAGGACACATGGTGGGGACAGCACAGGTCTAAGGCAGCTGTGGTAAGGATTTGGCCGGGAAGCCTTGCAGGGAGGCCTTCCTGTTCCCTCCCTTATGCATTCCTTCTTCCCCTCCACAGGATAACTCTGGCAGCCCTCTTGTCTGCCAAATGAACAAGACCTGGATTCAGATGGGGGTGGTGAGCTGGAGCTTTGGCTGCACCAAAAGCCGCTTCCTAGGCATCTACACCAGCACCTCCTACTTCACCCCGTGGATCAAGAGGCAGGTCAAGGAAATGAAGTTCACCAGTAGGGCCACCTCTGCCTTCCTGAGCCCAGTCTTCCTCACTGGCTACATTCTGCTGGTCTCCTTGGGCTCCCTGTGGCTTTTGTGAGCAGTGTTTCCAGTGTGGTCGGTCTCTGCTGTCTGCCCTCAGGAGAAGACTGGGAGGAGGAGCACAGGCCAGCAGGGCACATTGATCTTGGGGGAGGGTCCCAGAGCCACTGCTTTCTCAGTTCAATGAAGATGCCTTTGAACGCTGCATCACTGAAGTCATCATCTTTCTTCTTGACTTCGGCCAGAGCCTTTTGGAACCTCCCCCAGACCAAGAGGCCTTCCTAACCATCCCACTTGTGCTCCCCCTCTCGCTCCACTGTCCTCTTCTGCTGGTTATGGGGTTGGACTCTGCCCCAGTCTCCGCTTAGTCTGGCAGCACTCCAGCAAGGCCAGGTCCTGTGCCCTACCCTGGGTCTTGACAACAGTTTCCTTCAACAGTTTCTGTGAGAGCTGGCCTCTTCCTAGGAAACTCAGTGGCCACAAGTGCACTTGTGGGCCTTGTTCCAGAACGCGTGGGGCTCTCCCAATCTCCCTAAGGTTCTACAAAACCCATGGATCTTCCTCCCTACCAGGAGGATTATTGTAGGGCAGAGTGACCTCGAGTGCCTCAGAGACCTCAAGGACAGGCTGAGTAAACTAGTCAGAGGGCAGAGCCCTAACCCCTCTACCATGTGCACCTCAGGTGCAAAGCAGCTAGCCACCCTTGCACTTTGGGCCTCTGAAGGGTACAGTGTGATTTACTATCTCTTCAGAGGTTGGCACCCCAAATGGCCAGCCTGAGTGTCTCTCCCAAGGCCCTGTCAAAGGTTAGAATGTTCTAGCTTGATTTAACTTCAACTATCTCTTTCATTAGGTTAGACTTTTCCAAGAACCAAAGTTTCTCATAGGCTCTTTCCCCTGCCCCCCGCCCCCCAGTTATTAACTGTCACTGAACAGTCAGATGCAACATACAAACATACAAACTGGCCTTGGCTCCCTTCAGAGGGCCTGGTGGTCGCCATCACTCTTTCTCTGTGAATGGAAACCTCACCTGTGCCATCTTTCCTAAGCAAATGAATCTGTAAAGGAAGATTTGTTAAATGGAAGAAGTGGTGGTGGTGGTGGTCTGGGGAAGTTGCTTACAATTAAGTCATCTTTAAAAACGATCATTGCAAACATGTCAATTTGCTTAATTTCAGTGCTCTGGTGTGAACCCCCACTGCAGTTACCAGACTGCAGGGAAGGGAGGGGGCGCTTGAAAATCCTGGATGCCTGCCCCAGAAATTGGGCCTTCCTCTCACCAGGGGAGGGATGGAAGCATGAACCATCAGGGGCTGTGGGCTGCAGAAGTGAGGAGGTACAGGAACTGGCCGAGGTTAGACTGAGGGGTTCCAGGGCTGCTCGGCCAAGGGGAATGAGCAAGGGAGGGGGGCAAGGAGGGCAGAGGTGTGGCCCCAAACAGGTGGGCTAGCTGGGTCCTCCTACCAGAACCCTGTCTGAGGAGGAAGGCACACCATCATTAGGGGCGCCCTCTCCGGGAGCACCATCGCTAGTGGCCACTGGGGGGCGCCCGCCTAAGGCGGAATGGGCGTGGCCTCACTGACCACACGCCAGAAGCCGTCTGGGGCGGCCAAGAGGGGGCGCCGTCGTGAGAGGAGCGCCGCGGAGCAGTTGCTGCTGCCTCAGCATGGAGCTCTGGTGCAGGATCCGAGCCTGCAGGCGGGGACCCCAGGGCCCTTGGAAGTCTCCCCCTTTCCAGGCCCACGCTGTTCTGCTGCTGCTGCTGCTGTTGCTAAGACCCATTGGTGAGCCCCGCCCTTTGCCCTGTCCCCCACTCGGGGCCTCAGCGGTCCCCCTCTGATCTTTTCTGTGTCCTCCGGCAGGTAGCTTAGACACAGATGCCCTAAAGGGGGCACAAGGCCCCTTGGCGCTGTCCACGGCTGCTCCAGCTAATACTGGCAAACCCTGTGCCCCCAATACCCCCCGTCCCTTGGATAAACCTCAGCTCTCCCAGGCCCCTAAGAGAGGAGCCTTGGATGGGAAACTCTTGAACGACCCGCCGCAGTCCTCTGCTTCTCAAGACCAGATCAAGCCATTTCCCTGTGAGTATGGTGGATTCCACTGGGGGCGGGCTGGGGAGGAGAGCCCAGAGAAGTCTTAAGGACCTTTGATCCTTGTGGACAAAGTAGGTGGGAGGAAGAGGAAGGAGAAGAAATCTTCCTTTCACAAGTGTTTACTGAGCACCTAGAGGAGGCAAGGCAAGTTGGAGTAGTCTGGGGTGAGCTGCATGTTCCCACTGACCTCAACTGGGGCCCTTCAGGTGGCCTCTCCACAGGTTTAGGCCCTGCCTGGGCCTGCCCCGGACCCAGGCTTCTAGCCCAGAATTTTGGGGATCTCCAGCATAGCTTTCAGGGAGTGTTCCTTTGGGTTCCCAATTGAACAGTAACTTTCAAGCATGTTTAACTGAGACCCCTATAAGAAACACTTCTTATCCTGGGACACAGTGTGCCCAATCTAACTGCCCCGCCAAGTCTCACCAACAGGAGCTGGCGGCACTGTGGTGTGCATGCTGACCCTCCTTTGCCTGTGTCAGCCTTCACGAATGCAGGTCTGGGCACACATGCATTGATTTCACAGCCCACTGCTCACATTTGGGAAACACCTGGGCTGCTGGGATGTTGGACATGTGCATCTTGTGTTTTCAAACTTTTTCAGAGTGGCTGAAGCCACTGACCCTCCAGCAGTGAGTCAGAGGATAAGTTTTTCCATCGAGAGCTGAAGGACCCAGCAGGGTACTACGTGGATGCGCTGGGAATTCTCTGGAGCTTGGACTGTGGGAAAAGGGCGAGGGATACCTGGGGAGTGCAGAGGCCCTTGAGAGGCTGGAAACCCCAGTCTGCACTGGATGGCATAGTAACATGGTGGCCAGCAGAAAGGAGACTGGTTGGGTTTGGGTCAGTGACTGCAGAGTTGGGGGACCGTGCTGAGGGGTGGGGATGGGAGGTGGAGGAGAGGTGAATGGATGTGGCTAGAGGGACCCATCCTTCACCGAGCTCTTATCATCTTCCTCAGCCTGTGGCTTCTCCCAGGAACCTGACCTTACCCTCAAGTACCCAGAGGCCATGGCCCGGCGGTGGCCTTGGATGGTCAGTGTGCGAGCCAACGGCACACACGTCTGTGCGGGTACCATCATTGCCTCCAAGTGGGTGCTGACGGTGGCCCACTGCCTGATCCAGTGAGTTGGGGCCTAGATGGGTGGGAGCCATCAGGAACCAGTCCTCTCTGCAGAAACCCACTGTTGCAGCCCCAGCCTCATCTAACTGCAAGCAGGTGGGGGTTGAGTCCTGCAGCTTCCTTACCAGGAGTCAGTCTTTTAATCTCCCACCCCTTACTGCCCTCGCCCGACCCTCAACCTGTGCAGTCTTTCCCTCAATAGGAACTGGAGGCTTGGGAGCCTTTGTCCATGTCTCCTTTCTCCTAGCCCCAGAGAAAGCCCTAGTTCTTTCGTTCTACACCCTCTGCTCATCATTAGTAGTCCCTTCCTTCATTAAACCAAAAACCTTTGATTCTCCTTTGAAGCCAGGCCTGCCCCAGGCTCTGGGGCAGATAGGGGCCCAATCACTCTTCTCAGGTTTCTAGGGGAGTCAAATAAGAAGCCATATGCTCCCAGGGGAGCCTGCTTGGCATGGGGCCAACAGAGAGTGTCTGCCGGTGTCAGGGCTAGGGAGCACCTGGGGGTAACATCTGCACTGGTGTGAGGACTGACCCATGGAGGGTATCCTCCAAGCCTAAGAGCTGACATAGGGTCTCCAGGGGCATGCTGGGAAAGGAGGCTGGTGGGAAGGCCATGGCTTATTGCATGGAACCTCTGTTACTTCCCACGGTCCTGCATGGGGTGCTGGACAGAATCCAGAGTCCAGAGTTTGGAGCCAGAGGAAATTGGGTCCACATCCCAGCTCCAGCACTTCCTAGCTGCATAGCCTTGAGCTGGTAACTCTGAACCTCAGTTTCTCCTCCTTAAAAGGAAGGATCGTTGTGAGGACCGCACAATGCGTGTGCAGGGCCCTGTTCATATCTCTTATGAAGAGTGGGTTCTGGGCCGACCTGTCTGTCTGCACGGAGCACAGCAGTGAAGAGGAGGCAGGGTGGTGGCTGGAGTGGGTGCCTGGAACTGACAGCAGACTACCCCTTTGGGTCCCCCAGGCGCGACACTGTCTACTCAGTGCGGGTAGGGATCCCGTGGATTGACCAGATGGCACAGACTAGCTCAGAAGTCCTGGTGAGCCAGGTCATTGTGAACAGGCGGTACCGGGCCCAGCGCTACTGGTCCTGGGTTGGCCAGCTCCACAACATTGGCCTCCTCAAGCTTCAGGAGGAACTCAAGTACAGCAGCTACGTCTGGCCCATCTGCCTGCCCGGCTTGGACCGTGTGCCAAAGGCTGGGTCCCGCTGCACCGTGACGGGCTGGGGCCTCCCCAAGTTTAACGGTGAGACCAGGGTTGGTGGTGCAGGAGAGGACGTGGTTGCTGGTGGGGTCCTCCAAGGACAGCTGTTTCTGAGACATCTTCCTCAGGGAGCCCACTATCCTGGGACCTTCCTGGTAGCATTTATCTCCAAGGTCTCCTTCCCCTGGAGGGTCTCATCAGTGAGGGCATCATGGCCATTCTGGCCTGGGGAATGCAAGTTGCCCTTGAACCCTCAGGCCCAGACATGTAAACAGTCTTCCTTGACTGCAGAGGGGCACAGAGAAATAGCTCTGACTGTGCACAATCCCGTGGCTTCTGTGACCAGGAGCAGAGGGCTGGGATGGGGAGAGCAGGCTTCGGTGTCTGTAAAACACTCCCAGGAGACCCCGCGTGGTGTGCTAAGGGCAACCTGCACCCAGAGGTTGGGAGTCACTCAGGGTCCACCCGAGTGGTCCTCAGTCCCTTGTCATCTCAATCGGGCAGCAAGTCCCAAAGGGCATGTTGTCCCAGGCCCAAAGGTCCATCTCCTTATGAGCCCCAGGAATTTCCGTACCCCCCAGAGAGCCCCCATTGCTTTCCCGCAGGTGAGGGACCCTTCCCTGTAGCTTCACTCAACTTGCCTAAAAACAGCCCTGGTGGGTGTCTGGGGAAGTGCCCTGTCCCCCAGAGGCACACTTGAAAAAGGGGGAAGGGTAAGGCGGAGGCGGGGAGGAGAGTCAGCCCTGCCTGGCACCATGAAGGGGAACCTGCGAAATGGGAGGAAGAGGCCTTTGTTGGGGGTGGGGAGGGACTTGGATTTGGACCCTAGAGGGGCTTGGCAGGCATTTGGGATAGAAGGAGTGGCAAAGTGCTGAGACAGCGATGGGCCCTGCGGGAGGAGAGGCCAGGCCCGGCAAGGCCACGGCGGGTGGTCTGCTCTGCGGTCTCTGTGGCGAGGCGCCTTGGGCCGTGTCCGCTAGAATGGCAGGTGGACTGGGGTGGAGAACAGAGGAGGCCGGAGAAGTGGAGAGGAGTAAAGGGAGGCTGGAGACCAGGTGGCAGCAGTGAAACCACCACACCTGAGCAGGGGCCTCTGTCCCACAGGCACATGGCCCCAGTTCCAGACCCTTCAGGAAAAGGATGTCACCATCCTGAATAGCAAGGAGTGCGACAGCTTCTACCACAGGTTCACTAAAATCCCCTCTCTGATTCGGATCATCACGTCGCAGATGATCTGTGTGGAGGACAGCGACAGGGAGGAGTTCTGCTATGTAAGCATCTCCCCTTTGCCCACTCACTTCTAAGGGCACCTGCCAGGAGGGGGAGATGGGGGTGGGAAGAGCAGGGCACTGTGTCTGCAAAACACTCCCGGGAGACCCCACGTGGTGGGCAGGGTATGGAGAGGGTATGGAGAGGGTATGGAGAGGGTATGGAGGGTATGGAGAGGGTATGGAGGGTGTGGAGAGGGTATGGAGAGAGTATGGAGGGTATGGAGGGTATGGAGAGGGTATGGAGAGGGTATGGAGGGTATGGAGAGGGTATGGAGGGTATGGAGAGGGTATGGAGAGGGTATGGAGAGGGTATGGAGGGTATGGAGAGGGTATGGAGAGGGTAAGGAGAGGGTATGGAGGGTATGGAGAGGGTATGAAGGGTATGGAGGGTATGGAGAGGGTATGAAGGGTATGGAGAGGATATGGAGAGGGTATGGAGAGGGTATGGAGAGGGTATGGAGGGTATGGAGAGGGTATGGAGAGGGTATGAAGGGTATGGAGAGGATATGGAGAGGGTATGGAGAGGGTATGGAGAGGATATGGAGAGGGTATGAAGGGTATGGAGGGTATGGAGAGGGTATGAAGGGTATGGAGAGGATATGGAGAGGGTATGGAGAGGATATGGAGAGGGTATGAAGGGTATGGAGGGTATGGAGAGGGTATGGAGGGTATGGAGAGGGTATGGAGAGGGTATGGAGAGGGTATGGAGGGTGTGGAGAGGGTATGGAGAGAGTATGGAGGGTATGGAGGGTATGGAGAGGGTATGGAGAGGGTATGGAGGGTATGGAGAGGGTATGGAGGGTATGGAGAGGGTATGGAGGGTGTGGAGAGGGTATGGAGAGAGTATGGAGGGTATGGAGAGGGTATGGAGGGTATGGAGAGGGTATGGAGGGTATGGAGAGGGTATGGAGAGGGTATGGAGGGTATGGAGAGGGTATGGAGAGGGTATGGAGAGGGTATGGAGGGTATGGAGAGGGTATGGAGGGTATGGAGAGGGTATGAAGGGTATGGAGAGGATATGGAGAGGGTATGGAGAGGGTATGGAGAGGGTATGGAGGGTATGGAGGGTATGGAGAGGGTATGGAGGGTATGGAGAGGGTATGGAGAGGGTATGGAGAGGGTGTGGAGGGTGTGGAGAGGGTATGGAGGGTGTGGAGAGGGTGTGGAGAGGGTATGGAGAGGGTGTGGAGGGTGTGGAGAGGGTATGGAGAGGGTGTGGAGAGGGTATGGAGAGGGTATGAAGGGTATGGAGGGTATGGAGAGGGTATGAAGGGTATGGAGGGTATGGAGAGGGTATGAAGGGTATGGAGAGGATATGGAGAGGGTATGGAGAGGATATGGAGAGGGTATGAAGGGTATGGAGGGTATGGAGAGGGTATGGAGAGGATATGGAGAGGGTGTGGAGGGTGTGGAGAGGGTGTGGAGGGTATGGAGAGGGTATGAAGGGTATGGAGAGGATATGGAGAGGGTATGGAGAGGGTGTGGAGGATGTGGAGAGGGTATGAAGGGTATGGAGGGTATGGAGAGGGTATGGAGAGGATATGGAGAGGGTGTGGAGGGTATGGAGAGGGTGTGGAGGGTATGGAGAGGGTATGAAGGGTATGGAGGGTATGGAGAGGGTATGAAGGGTATGGAGAGGATATGGAGAGGGTATGGAGAGGGTATGGAGAGGGTATGGAGGGTATGGAGAGGGTATGGAGAGGGTATGAAGGGTATGGAGAGGATATGGAGAGGGTATGGAGAGGGTATGGAGAGGATATGGAGAGGGTATGAAGGGTATGGAGGGTATGGAGAGGGTATGAAGGGTATGGAGAGGATATGGAGAGGGTATGGAGAGGATATGGAGAGGGTATGAAGGGTATGGAGGGTATGGAGAGGGTATGGAGGGTATGGAGAGGGTATGGAGAGGGTATGGAGAGGGTATGGAGGGTGTGGAGAGGGTATGGAGAGAGTATGGAGGGTATGGAGGGTATGGAGAGGGTATGGAGAGGGTATGGAGGGTATGGAGAGGGTATGGAGGGTATGGAGAGGGTATGGAGGGTGTGGAGAGGGTATGGAGAGAGTATGGAGGGTATGGAGAGGGTATGGAGGGTATGGAGAGGGTATGGAGGGTATGGAGAGGGTATGGAGAGGGTATGGAGGGTATGGAGAGGGTATGGAGAGGGTATGGAGAGGGTATGGAGGGTATGGAGAGGGTATGGAGGGTATGGAGAGGGTATGAAGGGTATGGAGAGGATATGGAGAGGGTATGGAGAGGGTATGGAGAGGGTATGGAGGGTATGGAGGGTATGGAGAGGGTATGGAGGGTATGGAGAGGGTATGGAGAGGGTATGGAGAGGGTGTGGAGGGTGTGGAGAGGGTATGGAGGGTGTGGAGAGGGTGTGGAGAGGGTATGGAGAGGGTGTGGAGGGTGTGGAGAGGGTATGGAGAGGGTGTGGAGAGGGTATGGAGAGGGTATGAAGGGTATGGAGGGTATGGAGAGGGTATGAAGGGTATGGAGGGTATGGAGAGGGTATGAAGGGTATGGAGAGGATATGGAGAGGGTATGGAGAGGATATGGAGAGGGTATGAAGGGTATGGAGGGTATGGAGAGGTATGGAGAGGATATGGAGAGGGTGTGGAGGGTGTGGAGAGGGTGTGGAGGGTATGGAGAGGGTATGAAGGGTATGGAGAGGATATGGAGAGGGTATGGAGAGGGTATGGAGAGGGTATGGAGGGTATGGAGAGGGTATGGAGAGGGTATGGAGAGGGTGTGGAGGATGTGGAGAGGGTATGGAGGGTGTGGAGAGGGTGTGGAGAGGGTGTGGAGAGGGTGTGGAGGGTGTGGAGAGGGTGTGGAGGGTATGGAGAGGGTGTGGAGAGGGTGTGGAGAGGGTATGGAGAGGGTATGGAGAGGGTATGGAGGGTGTGGAGAGGGTATGGAGAGGGTATGGAGAGGGTGTGGAGGGTATGGAGAGGGTATGGAGAGGGTGTGGAGAGGGTATGGAGAGGGTGTGGAGAGGGTATGGAGAGGGTGTGGAGGGTATGGAGAGGGTGTGGAGAGGGTATGGAGAGGGTGTGGAGGGTATGGAGAGGGTGTGGAGAGGGTGTGGAGGGTATGGAGAGGGTATGGAGAGGGTATGGAGAGGGTGTGGAGGGTATGGAGAGGGTATGGAGAGGGTGTGGAGAGGGTATGGAGAGGGTGTGGAGAGGGTATGGAGAGGGTGTGGAGGGTATGGAGAGGGTATGGAGAGGGTGTGGAGAGGGTGTGGAGAGGGTGTGGAGGGTATGGAGAGGGTGTGGAGAGGGTGTGGAGGGTGTGGAGAGGGTATGGAGAGGGTGTGGAGAGGGTGTGGAGAGGGTGTGGAGAGGGTATGGAGGGTATGGAGAGGGTGTGGAGAGGCTGTGGAGAGGGTGTGGAGAGGGTGTGGAGAGGGTGTGGAGGGTATGGAGAGGAACAGATGGGCCTGGCTGGTGAAGGGTGAAGTAAGGGGGGGAGAGCGGGGGCTGCGTGGAGAGGGAGTGTGGGGGTGGAGGCTGGACGTGAGAAAGAAGGGCGGGATGGGTGGAGGGTGGGTATTAAAGAGGCTACTCGCCTGAGGAGAAGAGATAAGCCCTCTGAGGAAGGTCTCCTGGGTTTCCACCTCAAGGGCACCTCTCAGGCAGGTGACACCTGGGGCCACGGAGACGGGCATGGGATCAGGTGTAAGGTGCCTTTTTTGTCTCTGAGCTGGGTCACTTCTCCCTCAGGCCACATCTATCCTCCCTGTCCCTTCTGTTTCCCCACCCCTCCCTGCAGGAGATAAGCGGTGAACCCTTGGTCTGCTTCACGGAGGAGAACACGTGGCACCTGGCGGGAATGATGAGCTGGGGCCCAGGCTGCAGCCAGGACGAGGCCCCGCCCATCTTCCTGCAGATCTCCTCCTACCAGTACTGGATCTGGGACCGCCTCAGCGGGCAGACCCTGCCCTCCCAGTCCAGGGTCCTGCTCCTGGCACTCCCTCTGCCCCTCAGCCTCCTTGCTGCCCTGTGATACTCGTGCCATCCTCGGGTATGTCTGCTCTTGCCGGGCCCCTCCCCACTCGCTGCGCCTGGAGCCCTCCAGGTGCAGTTCCCACGGCCCCACCAGGCAGGGCAGAGACTAGGTGCTCAATTAAATGCTTCTTTTTCCCATACCGCCTGCCTGCCACCTGGGCCTGCTCAAATGAGCCAGATGGGGTGGAATGGGGGACACAGGGAAGTTTATTTTGAAAAGTGCAGCCCCCCAGGATCTGCCTGTCTAAAGGTTTGATTTGGAGTGTGAAGCAATGATATTGCGGGCAGATGATGGAGAGCTTGGAACTTACTGCCCAGGCTGAGGCCAGGGCGAGGCTGGGTGAGGGTGAACCCAGTCTGGGCTGGGGAGGAGAGCTTTTTCTTTCTGTGATACTTTAGTGGGAGACAGGCTCCCCTTGACCACTGGTCAGTGACTAAAAATCAGGCTGTTGCCCTGAAGCGCAGTCGTGAACTTGGACTCTCTAGCTCTGCCCTCTGCCTGGAGATGGAGGCAGGTGCCCACCGGGACCAGACATTATCTCCACCATCAGCAGCCATGCCCTCCAAAGGCCCAGCGGAGACCCCAGGTCAGAGGGTGGGGGAGACAATAGGCAGGGCAGGTGATGCCCAGGTCTTAACTTACCCAGGTTTTGCCTGTGATTTGTCTATGACTGCAAGTGGCCCCTGTCCCTCCAGGCTTTTGCTGTTGGCCCACACAGGAGGAATTCTCCTGTATGGGCAGGATGACCTTTGACACAATCCTATGTGAGAAGCCCCTAGACTGACCACAGAGGACAGAGGTCAGCCAGCTCTTCCCACTGCTGTCCTGCTCTCAGCCTTGTGCTTCCTCCCACCCCTACCCTGTCAGCCTGGAGCTCTCTTCTTGGGCAATAATAATCTGGGTCCTAGTCAGGATCCAGGTTGTCCTCTGTGTCCCCAGTGCTGGGCCCAGATCATCAGAGGCCTACTGAAAGCCACAGGGAGAGGGGAGGGAGTGGAGAACAGCCCCCTCCTATCTGGTCCTGGTGCCCTGCCCTGTAGCTGCCCCTCATTCTCTTGGGAGGAAAGTCAGGGGAGGGGATTTCAGCCCAGTCTGTGCCCACCTATCACAGCTGCCAATTACCCTCCACAGATGTCCTGGGACCCATTCTGAGGGCTGGTCTCAGGTCACAGGGTCTGAGGAGGCACTCAGCTTTGTTTCCAAGTGTCTGCAGGCCCCTGTAGATAGAGCTTTTTTAGTGCTCTCCTTGGCTCAGAAACCTCCCCTGCTGTCTCCCCAGTTTCAGGTCCAGGTCTGAGTGCCTTAGCCTGTGTTTTCTGGAAGCCCCTGCCCGAGGACTAAGTCCTCAGGTGGTGTTTGGGCCTTGGCCTTCTGGTCAGCCTGCTTCATGGGGGCTTTTTTCAAGAGGAACAGGAGAGGGAGCTGCCGCCTGTGATGGTCCCCCACGGCCCTGACATCTCCCTCCTCAGCTGACCGTAGAAAGAGGCACCAGAACAACCTGAGATTCCCTTTGGCTTTGTATACTTCCTGGATCCCCAAGAAGAGACCCAGGACCCAGCTTTCCCCTATTCTCCTTCTGGCCCACTGATCTCAGCCTCCTGCACCCCTAACTCACTCCGATAGCCTCCAGCCCTGTGCCCCCGGGGCCTATTCTAGGTTTCTCAGCAACCTCAGCTTCATCCCAAGGTATAAAACAAGTGCATCCCATTGCCTGGAGCTTGGGATCTGCTGTGCTGAGTCTTCTTCTGAGACCACCTCTGCTCATCTTCCTGGGCCAGAACCCCTGTAGGTTTGGGACGTTCTTCTGGCCCCCAGGACCAGCAGAGTCTGAGAACCTTCTGATGCCATCATTTCCCACAGTAACCCCTCCCTCCTTGTGGCCAATCTGGGTGTGGCCTTAGTCCAGCCATCAAATTCAGCCAACCCCTTCCAGAAGGGGCCCCACATGCCATTGCTCTTTTAAGGCCAATGCCCTTCCTGGCAGAAGCGTGGAACAGACACACGTCTGGGTGGGTGTGAAGCTGCTCTAGATATGCAGAGGGACAGTGGCTCAAGACCAACTTTGTTGAGCGGTCACGTGGATGGGTGAAAGGACCGAGCTTGGGCTGGGAGGCAGGACACTGGCGCAGTCTTGCCGCTGCCCCTGATGGGTTGTGAAGATGCAGCCATGGCCTCCCCACCCCACCCCCCGCCCCGAGCAGGGAGAGGCTGTTCTGCAGCTTCTGTGGTCCATGGATGAGTCTGGAGTCTAAGGTGCCTGGAATCTGGCCAGGACTAGAGCCCAGGGCCTGCCAGTCCCCACTGCCACCTCCAGGAAGCTCTCCTCACTTCTCTCCTTTCTTCTTCTTGGCCTCGTTCTTCTCATCCTCCTCTACCTTGATGGCCACTGTGTCCACGCTGTCCTTCTTCTTCTTCTTCTTGTCCTCTGAGGGGTAGAGGAAAGAGCCCATCGACAGAGATGAGACAAGCTCTTGGGCTTACACGATGCCTCCATATCCAGCCCTTTTCTTCCTCCTTCCTTCCAAGCCTCTCCTTCCTCACACTGACCGATTTCTATGCTCTGGTCCCCAGGGAGAGGGCTGGGTCCCCTCCCTGAGCCTACCGTGGGTATTGGGGAGAGCTAGGGTGACTCTGGGTGGTGAGGCACAGGCCCCCGCCAGATCAGCAGGGTGAATGGGGGCTGGGTTTGGGGCCGGGCCTACTCACCTCCGGGGATTTCTGTGAGCTCATTGAGGGGTGGCACTGTCTCTAGTTTGTCCGTGTACATCTTGGCTGCCTTTCGCTGCAGGTACCGGGCTTCAATCTCTTTCCGGGTCCGTGGCACACGGCAGTTAAAGATGCAGCACAGAATGATAACTGGAGGGAGGAAGAGCAGGCTTGACTGGGGCTGGACCTCAGACACCCAGGAATGGTGCCCACATTTTAGCCTGCCTCCCTTTTTCCACATATTTCACCCAAGAGACTGTGGCAGGAGGTTCCTCATCTTGGCAAAGCCCTGTGGGCCCTGGGATTGCCAAGAATCTGTCCTGAGCAGGACTGGGTTCATGCAGCACAGAGCCCCACACGTAGAAGGTCCTTGTGCTTGGTTCAATGCTCTGATCCCACCGTCTTGAAGTCATTATTTTTGAACAAGGGGGTCTCATAGTTTGACCTTGCACTGGTCCTCTCAATGACCACATTCCCGGGGCTGAGGTTGAGAGCTCCAGGAGGCCAGGACAAGAGCCTGCGCTATGGCTCAAGCTATGGTTTCTGGGGGCTGTCCTGTCCTTTCTATTCAGGCCTCCAGAGGTGCTCCCCTGCCCCCGGAGAGGACCTTAGACAACAGGATGTGTCTGCATCCTTCTCACCTTCCCTGAGGACAAATCGAAGCTCCTCCTGGCTCTGAGAGCCCATGAGAGGGCACAGGCCCTGCCCTGGGGTGTTCACCTCAGACACTTATTCCAGGAGTGGTTTTCCGGAGGAGTGCAGCTGTGCCCACGCAAGCTGGGCTGTGGCATGGAGCTGGCCTGTCTAGTGATGGGCAGAGCAGGGCAGGGCTTCCAGGACCTGGCTGGGACTGAGTTTATTATTCTAAGGCCCAAACGGTCTGACAACCTGGGCCCCAACCTCAGGGGAGGGGATGGCACTGTTTCCTATTATAAATCAGATGACCAGACGTTACTTCCTGGCACACTCCTGGGGGCAAGAGGGAAGGGCAGGACAAGCCAGAACTATTTTGAGAAAGATGGATCAGCTCCCAGCTTGAGCAGGGGTGGCCTCTGAGGTCATCCTGTGCAACTCTTTCAGGCAAATATTGTAGCCCCGCTGAGCCTCACTCAGGCTCACAGAATGAAAGAGAGGAATGAACAAATGGGTGATCTCAAAGACTTTGCCGCTAAGGAAAGGACTGGATGCTTGAATCCAAGTGGAGGAGCCAGTAGCATCCAGCACATTGGGGGGCTGCACACTGCTGTGCAGGGGAAGACCTGAGCAGGCAGAAGGCCTTTCTCATCAAAGAGCTGGGTTCTAGTCTTCCCTGCACCTGGTGTGTGTGCCTGAGGCCACGTGACCCTACTGGCCTGGGCCACCTCTTCCAGCCACTCTACCGGGCCCTTCCTTGGGACATACCCACTCCGGCTCTCCACAGAAGTTGGGTTCAGGCCCGGGGAGGCCCTGGCTTCAAAGGGCATGCAGGAGTCAGCTACTGGCAACCAGAGCAGGGTTTGCCTATCACCCCTCACTCTAGACCTGGCCTGGTAGCTTTTCAAAGAAAGAGAGAAACCAAGTGTCTTAGATCAAGTTCCAGGCACTACGCAGTGGCTTAGGATAGAAGTCCCTGGAGTGAAGTTGGCGCCCAAGGCACTCTAGCCCCTATGGACAAGGTTCTGGGGTGATGCTCCTCCGACACCATTGACAAGGGTGTGCCATCCCTACTGTCCAGCACCTTGATTGGACGGTGACAGGTGTTGACCTGCTGCTCAGTGGCCCTTGAGACCACCCCTTCCCTTTTCTAAGAAGTGGGGTTAAGAGTAGGAGTCAGTCTGTGGTTGAGGCCCAAGTGCCTCTTTGGGTCTGATACTGCAACTTTCTTGTGTGACCCCAGGTATTGCCAATTTCTGGGGTCAAACAGAGCCTGGGAGAGGCCAGTGTGCATCTGGAAACCCCCCAGTGCCCTGAGCCCTCTCCCCGGGCTGTCCTATAGTTGCTTACTGGACCTCACCCCTGCAGCTCCCCTGTCCCCTGCCTCTTGATGCTGGAGGTTGTTGCCCTCTCTGGGGATACCTTGGCCAGGGCTGCAGCCTGAGTGTCTGGCTGGAGGACCTCCACTGAGGCCTGGCTGGTTCTCGGTCTTGCCTAGGCACAAAAGGCAGCCTCTTGCGCAGATCCTGCTCCCACCTCAGCCGTAAAGGAATGGTGGAAGGGGTGTGGATATTTTTCTGCAGAGAGGACACTTTTGGTGCCAGAAGCAGCAGCACATGCAAATCAGATGTCACTCTCTCCCTCAGAGCCCGCACACCTGGATGGATGCTTCATTATTGGCCCTGCATCCTAGGGGATCTTATCCTGGGACAGAACTGTCAATGCCCCCTTAGCACCTTCACCTCCCCCCTCACCCAGGGTGCAATAGTTAATGGCCTATAGGGGCCATGAGGACCTTGTGTGGAGGCTACTTTCCTTCCTTCACCCATACCATCCCCCTGCCTGACAAGGCCTAGGCCATCCTCCCTAGGCCTTGTGGATCTTCAGCTGAGGACCCCTTCTCTACGAAGCCTCTGTGGGGTGCGGCTGGGGGGCTGGGTATTCTTTCCCTTCACAGCCTGTATCCCCTATCCGCCCTCCCCCACCCCGCCACACACACCTTGGCCTCATAGGAATGTCTCTCAGACTCTGCTTTAGGCCTCTGTGACCTCCCCCGGAGCCCGCATGGTCTGACCCCTCCCTTCACTCTGGATCCCCTCTCTACGCGGGCCCAAGGGTGCATGCCAAGTCCACTTCTGTGCATCAAGCAACTCCCAATCCCAGGAGAGGAAGGGTCTCCTGCTTCTAATTGAGGTGGCTGTGAGTCATTCTGAGAAAATGGTATTTGACAAGGCAGGGTTTGCAGCCCGAGAGCCACATCTGCTGGGCATCTGGGGAGCCTCTGGGCTGAGCTGTGGCCACGGGTGGCCTTGCTGGGGCCCCTGGGTGTGGGCCCTTTAAGCTGGCCAAACTGCAGGAAAAGCATCGGGAGGCCAGAGATAGGGAAAAATGACATGTCCTCATCCTGGTTCAGTGGAGTCCCCTGTAATTTCCATAATTGCTGTGTGGCTGGTCGGCAGAATACTTCAGGTCACCAGCGGCCTGTCAGCCTCCACAGGGACTTTGTGTGAATCAGGAGGTGCCAAAAACCACAGTGGGCCTCCTGCAGGCGCCGGGCCTGCTTGCACTGCCCGGAATTGCTGCCCTGAGCCCCTGGGGGTGGTGCTGGGGGGGCAAAGGGACAGCGGGTGCTGTGTTCCCACTGCAGCGAGGTGGGGAGGGTGGGGAACGGCTACTCACTGATGGACAACACGAAGAGCGAGAAGATGCCCACCACGTGCCACAGGCGCATGTCCCAGAATACCACGGTCTCCTTGGTCAGCGGGGGTGGCTTGGGCTTGGGCGGTGCCGTGCTGGGCTGTGGGTCAGATGACAGGGGAGTGAGCCAAGCAGAGGCGAAGCGCTGGACTGGACCGAGAGACGGACCTAGGTCCCAGCAGGGACCCAGCCCAAGTATTTCAGAATCTCCTGGAATCAAGTGGTTCAGACATTTATAACCAATGCTCTAGACGTGGGAAGTTGCAGATTTAGGTCACAAGAGGAGAGTGGAGCCCCAGTACCCCATAGCCAGGGTCTTGGAGTTGATGCTTGGGGAAACCAAGGCATGAGGGGGCAAATAGAAATGACCAGTCCCAGTCAGGTTCAAGTTTCCTCCAGGAAACCCAGAGGTTTCTTCCTGCTCTGGTCCTGGGCCCCACATATGCAGGCGAGGTCTCAGGACCAAGGCCAGAGACAAGACAAGGCTGTGCTGCCCTGGGGGACTTTGCTCTCCTGTACACACGGGGCAGGGTGGGTGTGGAGCTGGAGTCAGCGCCTCATAGCTCTGCTGCCTGTCCAGGACCCCCACTAGGTAGCCTCAACAGTCACCCACCCTATGAGAGTCACCTCCTCTGAGTCCTCACCAGACAGCACTAGATAATTTGTCTGCAATGTGGCAGCGACACCTGGAGGCCAAAAGATGTAAGCGTGACTGGCGCGAGCCAGGCACAGCCAGCCACCTCCCACTTTCCCATTGGGACACCACCCTGCTCTGGGGTCTAGGGGACACAGTCCTGCATGAGGGGTCTAGGAGACGTGATCCTGCCCTGGGAGACTGAGGGGACAGGCCCCTGACCTATGGGGTTGACCTGTGGGGTTGTCACCCAGTTTGGCCGAGAGGTGGGATGGGAGCTGGTGCTCAGGGAGAGAGGACCATCTGCAGTACTTCTTCCCTGGTTCCCCAGGTAAGGACAGACATGAGGGGTATCTTCTGGCTCTCTGGGAAGGAAAGGCAGTGCTCAGCTCACCCGCCCATCCAGTCCCTCCCCTATCCATGGACATGGATTGGGCGCCTACCATATGCCAGGCACTTGCTCATCTAATGACCACCCTCTGGCATGTGATGCGACACTCAGAGGACCAACAACCTGTCCGGGGAAATGCAAAGGACCTGTGTGCCAGGGCTTGGTACATGATTCCCTGTACTTTTCTTCTTACTAGGGTGAACTGCGGTAGGAGCCTTCTTTTCTCTGGGCCTCAGTTTCTCCATCTGTAGCTTGAGTGGGATGGTTCTAGGTCTCTGGGAAGCTCTCTCTGTACCCAACCTGAGCAGTAAAATTGACAAGACACCCCTTCTCGGCATCATCCTGAGTCAGGATCCATTTTCAGGGTTGGGTACATGTATGAGGGTCGAAGAACCTGTGGGTTCAGGGTATATAGCTGTGGTTGGGCACATGTGTGGTTGCGGTACATTTGGTGTGGTGGGGCACGTGTCTGTAGATTGGGGCAGAGCCTGCACAGTAGCGGGTTCCCTGATTCTAAGTCTCAGTCTGTTGGCCTTGTTGGGTTGTATGATCAGAAGACTCCAGGCCCACAGTAAAGATCTCAGGTTCTGAGGCTGGACATCTGAGAGCTCACTTTTGACACATTCTTGTTCCACCTGTGTTCTGGGTGGAAGTGAGCCTGTGCTCTCACCCTGACAGGGGCCTTAGGTGGAAAACAACAGGTAAGAGTCCAGCATCTTGTGGGCACTGCTGGGAACTCTGAAGCTTGGAGAACCTGGCCTCCATCAGCTCCTCATAGCCCGATGGAGGGTCCTGCCTATAGGGGTTAGGGTGAGAGGAGTTCAGGACCCCATCCCTGCCTTTCTTTCTGGTGTTTCTCTGGACTCCCAGGACTTGACCAGTTCTCTGCTCAGACTATAGGCAGATGGCAGGCCGAGGGACCCCAAGTGTCTTCCCTATGGTCTGGGAGGAGATGTGTTTCTGGAGGCTGGAGGAAGTAGTCCTTGCTTCAGAACTGAAGCAACCCACCATCAGCCTTCTTATGCACCCAAACTGGCTCAGTTCCTGAACTTGAGGGCCCAGGGCAGCAGATGAGGGGTCCAAGTATACTCCATGGAGCTTAAGTAGCCTGACTCCCCTCACTGGAACTGGCATCTGACTCCAGCCCAGCTTTCTGACCACACCTCCTGGTCAGCAGCAGGGACAGGCCAGCATTCAATGCAGGGCTCTGTCCCAAGCCCCTCTGACCCCTCCAGGGTATGCCACTGTCCTCCAGTCCAGCCACCTTGCTATCTCTTCTGCTTCTGTGTCCCTGCTCTCTCAAGTCTGCCCCTGCCTGCCAGGCTCCAGCTGCTCCCTGCCCCCTATTCTCTGGCCCTGCCTGTTGGGCCTTCTCCCTCTGACCTCACGCTCCAGGATTCTGGGCCTGGTCTTCCTCTTTGCTTCCCCTTCCTGGCTCAGCAGGAAGAGCGATATAGAGGGAGCAGGGACATGGCCCCTCCTACACAGGGCCCCCTCCCTGCCCTTCCTGGCCCTGGCCAGGCTCCTCACTGCTTTCTGAACTATCTCAGCAGCTCCTTCCGCCTCTCCCAATGTGCACTTTTGCAGTTTATTCTCCCCTTCCCAAACTAGGACTCATCACCACTCTCCTGCTCAGAAATCTTTGCTATCTCCGGTTTTCACCAGGACCAAGAAAGACCTGAGTCCCTGGGTCCTGCCCTACCTGCACCTCCCTCCAGAGCCTAATGCTCCACACCCAGATGAGCTCAGCACACAGTTGCTCTGTGAAGCGCATCCTGATCTTCCTGCCCGCATCCTCCAGCTTGGAACGCCCCCCTCACCTCCTCCCCAGAGCTATGTCGCCCCTACTAACAAGGGGTCCTGGGGAATTTCTGGAGGCAGCAACTTTCTCCTCCAGCAGACTCTAGGACCGGGGACTAGATCTCCCCCATCAGACCAGAGGTCACTGGAACCACAGACTATAACCCCCGCCCCCCCTCCATTAGACCAAACATTCAGGATAGGGGCTGAGTGTCCCCCATCAGGCTTGGCAAGACTGTTCCTCAGATTGGGAACCTCTAAAAATTTGGGCACTTCTCCCCTATCACGTTAATGTTAGGGATGTCAGGGGCTGTGCCCTTCCATCACACCAGGGGTCCTAACCTGGGGCCTGAGTCCACCCCACGGTCAGGAAGCACTTGGTCAGGGCTGTGTCACCCTATTAAGCGAGGTCTCCTAGAGCAAGAAGGGCAAAGCCAGCTTTCAGGCAGAAAGATGCCCCCCCCGCCCCCTGGAGGGCGACAGCCACCCCAACCCTTGCGCGCCGCCCGGCCTCACCTCCACCAGCTGCCCGGCGACCCCCGCGAGGCACACCCCCAGCGCCGCGCCGCCCAGCACCCACGGGGGCCCCGCGCCCCGCCGCGGCCCCGCCATCTTCGCGCGCGCCCGCTGCACGGGGGAGCGATGTGACAGCCGGGCCCCCGGGCCAGCCGGCGCTCGGCGGAGAGATCTGGGCGCAGACTGTGGGTGGGCATCATTTATTCATCGGCGGTGTCTGGTTCCTGTGCAGCCGCCGCGCATCGCTGCGGGCGGGCGGCCCGCCCCCTCCTGGGAGCCCAGACTCCAGACTCCCCTCCATCCCCCCCCCCCAAGACGGACTCGGCGGTGGGGGCGCGTGGGAGGGAGGGCGGACTGGGGTCAGGTGCTTGAACAACAGGTCTCACCCCCTCCTCCCCTCTGGGGCCTCAGTTTCTCCATCTGGGACCCCGGGAGGGGCTGGGCTCTGCTGACCTCGGAGACCCTCCTGTTTCGGAGGTCTGAATTTGAAAAACCACACGGACCAGGTGGGGAGGTGGGGGAGGGTGGCAGGCAGGTTGCCATAGTGACGGGCACTCAGGGATGTCCTGGGCTGGCTTACTGCCCAGAGGCAGCTCTGATCACCCTGGACACCAGAGCTGTGGTGGGGGGATGGGGAGCAGAGACAGTGTGGTAATAGCCCACAGCTGTGGGTACTGTGGAAAGTTCCTGAAGGAGCCAGCATCAGCAGCCTCACTGAACAGGGTGGATTCCTCCTGGAAGGGCTGGAGGGCCATTTACAGACACTGGTGGGCCCTCGGCCCCTGCCCTAGCCTGAATCATGGCCCTACTTCACACTAAATGTGGCCCATGTGCACTTTGGTCCAGATCCCAGGGTGCGCTTTGACCAACCAGGCATGGAGGGAGGGAGGGAAGGCCTGAGGAGCTGTGGAGACCTGGGGAGGACTTTGCAAGAAGAATTAGGAAGCCTGGGATGGGAGAGGCTTCTAGGCCCTTCTCCCTCTTTCTTTCCCTCCCTCCCTCCCTCCCCTATTTCCAATATTATGAAACTGAAACGCCTGCCTGCTGAGCGCTGGAGAAGCAGCCCAGGTGTTGGACCCCTGCATTCCTCACCACCACGGTCACCAGAGGAGACCTGTGCCAGCTGGGTGCTTTAGGCCTTGGGCTCTGGCTCAGAACTAGAGACCTGGTAGACTCAGAGCCTTGTGGGTCTCCTGCTTGGAGATGCCACAAATGGTGAGGACTGAGGCTAGCTGCGGCAGGGTTAGGAGGTGACAGAGCAGTCAGGAAGATGGGAGAGCCACTGGCAAAGGGTGACTAGCCCAAGGAACCCATCTAGGAGACCCTCGACAGTGGAGAGCAAAGTTGGGAGGCTGGGGGGGCTGGGTCGCACTATCCACCCCAGGCTTGCCCCTCTCAGATAAATAGGAATTCCATGAAAGCCCAAATCACTTGCAGTGGCTCTCTGCCTGCACCCCCTTCCTCATGCCACCTGTCATGGGTCACACTAGGGAAAGTCACACCGACCAGTCAGGAAGGTCACTCTAGGAACATGGGGTCAAGAGGCCTTGCCTGAATTGAGCCTGACAGTGACCTTAAACAAACCTTGACTCCTCTCAGCTCATCTACGGAACGGAGAGGGCAAGCCTCTCATCGAAAGGCTGATGCGAGGATTATAGGAAATAACAATTATGGGATGCTGAGTACATGCTGGTTGTCCTTGATAGGACAGCTCAGCCCAGAATGAGGAGGGTGTCATTGTTTCCTGTAAAGTTTGTCTTTCCAATTATGGGATGCTGAGTACATGCTGGTTGTCCTTGATAGGACAGCTCAGCTCAGAATGGGGAGGGTGTCATTGTTTCCTGTAAAGTTTGTCTTTCCATCCAAGTAGGGCAAGCCCAGTGAAGAAATCTGCATACAATCATGTGTGTCCCCACTGTCCCCAGAGATGGCCACTGCTTCCTCCTGGATCCTACTGCTCTCTAGGCCCTTGAATGCAGTCAAGATCTCACCATATGCTATTTATCACACTCCTTTTTACCCAACACCAGCATCCTAGAATCCACCCCCCACCCCCCAAACCTCCAAACCCACTGTTAAATATTGTCACACAAAGTTTAAAGTCAAACTGACTTAAGATAATAGAAATTAAAATAAGTTCTGAAAGTCTGACAGCCATTTTAGGCTTTAATAACTTCAGAAATGTAAAGTTATAAATTTTAAGAAACACTACTGGAAAGTTTAATTATTTAAATTTCCTTTTTTGCCTTCTGGAGATGGCAGAAGTAGACTGAAAAAATTAAAGTGATGATTCAAAATGTACAACGTCCAATTAACACAAGAAAATTTAAATAAACCTTCAAACAGTGCCTTTTGTCATTTGTAATTTTATACATTATATTGATGATGTCTGAAGTTACTAAAGCTTAAAACTGAGACTTCTGAGGAATGAGCATATTGATAGCTGTGAGCCTCAGGGGGCTACTTTGCTCAGCTTTCTCCCCTCACCTGTAAAATGGGTGTAGCTATAGTATAATTCCGCTTCACACACTTAGTAAATGCTGTTCATTATGATTCTTACCGTCATTGTTAAAGGCAGTGTGATAGCATGCAGTAAAAACCCAACAGCACCTGTTCAATCAACACCCTATTGCTGAACATTTGCGTTGTTCGCAACTCTCCCCGGTGAAAGGACCGTCCTGAAAGCTGAAACCTTTTCCACCTTTGAGGGCTTTTCTTCTTCCACTTACTCATAAGAAATTGAGGCCCCGAGAGGGCTTGTTCCCTGCCCAATGTCACGGGAGCTCGGACCTCAAACTCAGCCTTTAGCCCTTAACCAGGGCTCTGCCTATTGTTCAGTACTGTTTCTACTTTTTATGAGGTCCCCACATATCCCTGCACCCCACTCCCGGGTCTGGGGTGACAGCTCTGGACCCTCAGGCTGGAAGACCGTGTCCCCTTCCTGTGGTGGCCTGAGCGCTGGCCTGCTGATCCTTGTTTGTCTCTGTGTACTATATTTGGCTCCTGTGGGTTTCCTGTAGGGACCCAGTCCAGCCTCCAGGGCCTCGGGGTTGGGAGCGATAGACACAGTTAGTTGGCAGTGGTCAGGAGACGCAGTGGACAGTTCTCTCCTGAAGACTGAAATTCCAAAACTCAAGGTCCGTAGAAGCAAGGGGTAGGGAGCAGGGATCCCCCTCAGTCATAGAGCCAGATGGGATTCGGGGCATCTTGGACTTAGTTTGATCTGGGGATGGGGGCTGGGCAGCCCAGGCTTATGACACAGCGACTGGGCCTGCTGGTTGCTGGCAGTCTCTGACCTTGTTGGCCCCCGGCCCAGGCCCAGAATAGCTCTGGGGCTGGGTGGGGCCTGTGTGAGAGCTATGTGTACATAGACATGCCCTTGTGTCCCAGGGCACTTGTGTATGCAGGAATACACATGCACACTGCATTTGGCTGTGTGTGTCTGGGTGTGTGGCTCAGTGTGCTTTCCATGGAGCATTGTGGGTCTGTGTCCGCGTAGAAGTGCACATGGTATGCACACGTGCTCTAGTACAGGGCTGGCACCAGAGTTGTGCAACATGTGGCCCTGCCAGTGGGCTCAATAATAGATGGGTCTGTGTGGCACAAGTGATTATACAGCACCCCCTATCCCCCATACACACATTCCCATGACCTGAGGAATCATACATGTGTGCAGAGGGTGTGGGAGGGATACACATCTGTACTGGACTAAGCAAGGGCCCTTAGCTGTTTTTCAGGGCCCAAGGGGAGGTGGATTTAGTGGAGATTGACTTTAGGTGCCACCAGGGACCCAGAGGCCTGACCTGGCGCTGGACAGGTCTTACCCCATTTGGCAGATAATAAAACAATGCCTGTGGCAATTCCTCTGAGGTCATCGGTAAGTGGGCAGTGGGTGAGGGAAGACTGACCCCCACCCCCCCTTAAGCCCGAGCTCAGCCAGACTTCTGAGGCTGCTGGGAGGCATGGTGCTTGCTGCCAGTCTAAAGAGAGCCAGAAGTGGGTAGGGGCAGAGCATGGTGGGTTTTTAGAGACTCCTGTGTGCCAAGGGAAGTGATAGAGCACCAGCCTGGTGGCCAGAGGGTGACTGGGTGCCAGACAGCAGTCTCCTTTGTATAAGCTTGAACTAAGGTCCCTCCCCCTTCCAGGAGGTTTGTGGGGATTAGGCTCTGCAACCCTTTCCAAGGTCGAAGGCCTTGGCACAGGCAACTGCTGGCTTCACGCTCCACTGGGCCATATTCAGGAGTGGGGGTAGGGGGATTTTCGCGCTTCCACAAGGTCACACAGGAGTGGCGGCTAGCCCTGCCTGTCTCAAGGGGCAGCCTGTGGCCTCTGTTTACCCAGTACCAGCTACAAGTTTCACAAACCCACCCAGCGCCCGCTGGCGCCAGCCTCTGTGACTCCATGCACCCCAGGCCCACTCAGCGCAGAATCGGTGTGGGAGGGGGGCTGGGAAAGCCGGACACTGCCCGGCTCCCCTTGGAGCCCTAGGTCGGGAAGCAAGGTGAGCTTGGCGAGAGTGCGCCTGTCAGGGGAGGCTGGTGGGTGTCGGGGCTGGGGGGAGTTGGGGTACAGGCTACTCAGCGTCCTCCTTTCCCCACCCCCAGCCGGGCGCCGAGCGCCTTTGGACCCTGGAGGGCTCCAGAGGGGGACCTCAGGAGAGACCGCGCGCGAGGGGACTGCCAGACGCATCGTCCCCCCTCTTCCCTGGCGAGCCCCTCGGCGCCCCCACCCGCGAGTCACACTCCGAGGCGGGGCGGGGGGGCGGGGCGAAGATGTGGGCGGGGCGAAGATGTGGGCGGGCGAAGATGTGGGCGGGGCGAGGGGCGGGGCGGGGCGGGGCGAGGCGGGAGGGGGCTGCGCCCTTGCCGCCGCGGCTGCTTTCCCGGCGCTGGGCACCTGCACCGCACAGGTAAGGGCGGGTGGAGGTCTCGCGCCCGTCGGCCGGCTTCTCTGCTCCCCGCTCTCCTCGCTGCAGGTGGGACTTTCGCCGCCGCCCCCGGCTTGCTGCGTCGCTGTCCCTCCTCGACTTTCAGTCTCCGCGGCGCTCACGCCCAGGCGTTTGCCCGAAGGCTCCCTCTGTCCTAGCTGGGATCAGCTTCGTCCTCCCTGCCCCGCGGTCACCGGGGGTCGGGTTTAGGGGCAGCGCATAGACAGTCCCTTTGCCCCCAGGGCCTTACGTGACGCGAGCTCAGGGCTCAAGGGCTTGACCTGGGCGGAGGAGCGAGAGCCTGGGGTCTCACCCAGCCGGAGAGACTGACAGGTGGAGGTGAGACAGGTGGAGGTGAAACCTGGCGTAGCCTGCAGTGAGAAGGGCACAGACAAACGCCTGGTGGCTGGGACAGGATCCCATGTTTGGGAAACTCTAGAGACTGTGTGCCTGGATAGAGAGAGGGATGGAAACTCCAAAGTGGGGGGGAGGTGCCCTCTGGGACAAGAAATTTGGAGCCTTAACAGGGCAGAGGAAGGAAGCTGAGAGGAGTAGCCCGGGGAAGACTGGTCAGTAGTGACAGTTCACCACCCACTCCTCGGGGCAGCCTTCTCTCTGTCTCCCGCTGGGCTTGCTGGTGGGCTTCCTGGGTTTGCTGGTGGATTTCCAGGGCAGTGCAGAAAAAACCTCCACAGCAAGCAGAACTTCCTTGCCTGTCCAGACCAGGAAATACCAGAGTGGGTGCCATGACAGGGTGTGGCCCAGGGGCCTGAGGGCCAGGTCTTTGAGAGGGCAGTGGAGGCCTCAGTGATCCTGCCCAGGAGAGACCCAGTGTGGACAGGGCTAGGAACGCAGGGGAGAAAGCAGGTCTGGCTGCTCCTTAGATTGCTAATGTGACAGGGAGCTGACTCACCTAGGCACGCCAAGACTGGCCAGGTCTGTTCTTGCCCCACCCCATGCTAAGCTTTCAGGATGCCCGGGGAGGTAGGAGGCTGGGCCCTGCCAGGAACTTGCTGTGTGCCCTCAGGTGAGTTGCCTAGCCTCCCTGAACCACTCAGTTCAGGTGAGCCTGGTGGGGCTGGGAGCCAGAGACCTAGGTCTGAGCCTTCTACATGCTCTACAGATGTGTCTCTGGGCCCTCGTGTTCCTTCCTAGGCCTCAGTTTCTCCCTATGTATAGCATGTGCACCCTCCCACTGGGTGGGTATAGGGAGAGCTGTGTGTTGAGGGTGGGACTGGAATTTGAGTGGGGAGTTTTCTACCTGGGTCCCCTCCTGTTAAGGCTCAGCATTTCTTCCTCCCTCCCATATGTACTCATATATCCTCATGTCTGGCCTGCCCCTGCCCTCACTCTCTCTCCTTATCATTTCCAGAATGAAGCGCAAAACTCCCTAACCTGGAAGCAGGTCCCCTTGGGGCCATCAGACCAAACCCCCAGCCTCAACTGCAGCCTCCCCTTACACACTACCTTACAGCTGTGCTAAATTTCTGGCCTTACTATAGGGAGTGCAACTCCATTTCCTAGGTAGAGTTAGAGATCCCTTCGGGGTACCACAGCTAGAAAGATCCCAACTGGGGACTGTAAGATTCATCCTGAGGAGCCCTAGGCTGATTTCAGAGGACTGAGTCTCCATACCTAGAGCAATTTGTTTCTACCTATTTATCTTTTCTAGGGGAAACTGAAATAGTTTGAAGCTCTGGTCTTGTTGGTCCCCCATTTTCATAGAGGGGGTGACTGAGGTCCAGAGAGGAGTTGGGCTGTGGATAAAATGGGCATGGCCAGGACTGAACAGCCTGGTAGGGTCAGAGGAGGCCTATGGGAGCCTGGGCCATGGGTCCAGAGTGGGGGAGCAGCTGCCAGCCCTGTGGGGGTGATGAAGGGGAAGGCTGAGGTGAGGAGAGGGAGAGAGCTCACTGCCTGATCGTAGCATTGGTTGCAGGTGTGCTGCCTGGCCCTCATGTGAATGTGGGGGTGCTGGCATTCATGAATCCCCAGCAGCAAGTTATTTATCACAGGTTTTCTCCTGGCTCACCCTGATCTGGCACCTAGTGCATACCTCACATCCTGGCTACATCCTTTACCTTTAGTCAATGTCCCCTCTCTCAGCTAAGACCCCCAACTGACTGCCAGCTGAGGGTGAGAAGGTCACCACCCCCAACATACCCAACACACACACACACACACACACACACACACACACACACACACACACACACACACACACAAAGGGCCAGGCTTGCTGTGCCCCTGACCCCTTGCTGGGCCTTGCCTGAGCTGACCTGGAGCAACTTGACTGCCAGCATAGGAGTGGGGACTGGGGCTGGCACAGGGGCTTGCAGAAGAAGGGGGCTGCCTCTAGCAACTTCCCTTCCTGCCTCTTCCTCGAAGAGCCTCGCCCTCCTGAAGCAGCAGCAGCGGCAGCAGCAGCAGGAAAGGTGGGGCAGGAATGCCTGAGCCCGGCCCTTGGCCAGAGTTCTGAGGCACCCGCCCCACTCTGCCTCAGAGTTGATTAGTTCCCTGGCAGTCATGGGCTCTTCCAGGGGCCTGGGATGACTTATGGTGTCCTGGAGGTGGGATAGGGGAGGCTGAGACCCCTTCCTATTTACTCTTTTGGGCCTGCTTGCATTGCTTGCCCATCACTGGTTGCCTGGGCTGTCTCCTGCCCCACCCAGGTCAGCTAACGCCAGAGCCTTCGTAGTCTAAGCCAGGGAGAGGCAGAGTTTGAAGATCTTGGACTAAAAGACTCTTGAGCTCTCAGCCCTGAGATGTCCGGTCAGGTCACCCGGCAGACTTCCTCTGGGGGTGAGGACACCAGGCTTGTTGGGGGAGGGCTGTGTCTGAATGGAAACCGTAGCCTGATGGTGCGGATGGATTTGCCTCTAAGTTGGAGGCCATATTCCCAGGTGAACCCTGCCTGCTGGGAGTGGTGGGGAGGTCCCTCCCTCCATGGCAGGAAGTCCAAAGTCTCTAACCCACCTGCCCACCCTCACTGCCCCATGTCTGGAGTTGGACCCATCCAGCAGTGCCAGCTGGGTTGGGGTGCCCACCCACACCCGCTTGCTGGGCAGTACTCTCTCCTCTGCATGTGTCAACAAGTCCTGCCCAAGTCTGGCTTTGGGCCCCGCCACTCACTTGCTCTGAGGGCCTCCTTGGCTCCTCTGCTGGCTATTAGGGTCTCTGGATGGGCCATTCATGGAGCCTGGGCCCTCATGCTCATGAGCCTTTGCGCTCGTGTCTCCCCCACCTGCTTGCCTTGTCTTCTCTGCCTCCTTTCTTGCCCATCCTTCATGACTCCAGCAGACCACCCCTTCCTTATACAACCCTGCTGAGGCACAGTGTCCTGGGCCGTGACCTGGAGAACAAGACTGGGTTTCTCTGACAGCATGCTTTTGTTTCTAGAGACTCGATGGAGAGGGGCAAGGTCAGAGGTCCACTAGACTTTACTCTGAGCCCTTGGGAGCCAAGGTCAGTATTGAATCAGGGAAGGGAGCAACCCAGGACTGGGCTTAAGGAGCATCTGACTTTTGGGATAAGAGATGTTTCCCTTCGCAGTTCTGAGCTCCTCTCAGCTGGCCCGGGTGGAAAGCAGGGCAGGGGCCAGTGGCCAGACCAGGGTCTCTCCTTTGAGATGACCTGGGCTCATTGTTTAATTCTGATGTGGATGGTCCCTTGCTCTGGGCACACAGCCTGAGAGAATGGGCCCTGACTCTGCAGCCACTGGTGCTCTCTGGCTCTAATTTGTGCCCTGTTCAAGGCCCTGAGAACGGCGCCCTGGCCATGTGCAGCCGAGAGGAGGCAGAGCTGCTGCAGCTGGAGGATTTCTTCTCGAACACCCTTGCCTGCATCAACAGCCTTGTCCTCCAGCCCCTGCTCGCAGCTGGTGAGTCTCTGTTCTCTGGGGTTGAGGGTGTGGTGGTGGGGTGGGAGTGGGGGGCCCGGCAACCATTCCAGGGACAGGAGTCCTAGCTTGTTGCACCCTCTGAGCCGCAGCTTTCTCCGCCTCAGAGGAGAGTGTGACACTTGGTTTCTGCCTCTCTAAGGGACTGGGCCCTCACCTGAGGTTGCTGACTGACCCCCTTCTGTGGACTCTCTCCTAGCCCAGACCCCCTGTGCACAGGGATGAAATGCCACCCCTCCCAGACCTGAATTCTCATCTTGCTCTCAGCCAGGGTGCAGCTAACTGGATGACAGGATGCCTAATTTATTGCTGTGACCCAGGGACCTTGGGCAGGTGCCTTCCTCTCAGGGCTGCATGTGCCTCTGTAAATGTCAAGGCACTACAGGAACTATGGGCTTCTCCTTCAAGAATCAGGGAAAGTGTGTATTTGGTGCCCCTAGGTCACCAGTGCTGTCCCCCAGTAAGGAGGTGGATGGACATGTGCCCCTATTTACTCTCCAAGGTGCTGCCTGCTGAGCTCAAGGGGGCCTATCAGCTTCCTATCCTATCCCAAGGGCCCCAGTGAGTGGGACTCTGGCTACAGCTCCAGGGTTGTGGGGTGCTGCTGGCCTTCAGTGACCCCCTGGGGCCCCTGAATGTTCACTGGGAGGTAGAGTGGCTCTGACCTCCCTCACGGTGTGGTTGTATTCCTGCCCCAACCCCAGAGCCCTCAGACGCCCAGGGCAGAGAGTGTCTGCGGCTCTTGCAGCAGCTGCACAGGAGCTCCCAGCAGCTCTGGAAGGAGATCAAGGAAAGCCTGCGCTCACTGAAGGAGAGGCGGCGTATCCCGGACCGCGTGGGTCTGGAATCCCTGCTGCTGCTGCGCCATGCTGACCACATCCTGCAGGTCCACGTGGAGTAAGCCAGCCAGTCGGGCCAGGGCTCAGCCTGGATGCCAGTGCCACCAGGCACTAGGGCCACCTGGCTCAGGGCTTAGGCAAAGGTCTGGGTGTAGCCTGGGGTGGGACTCACCTGGGCTCACCCTCAGTGGGCTTGGGCACTAGCCTGGTGTGGACTTAGACACCCTGAGCTTTGGGGCTTCCCGGGAAAGGAGACTTTGTGAGTTAAATTTTCTTGTCGGGTTAATCAGACTAGATGTTACCAGTGCCTCCAACCAGACCACTGGCTGGGCCCTCAGGGATGTAGTCACTCCGTGGGTAGGATCTGGGCACCCTGGAAGAGCAACTGTGGAGAGGGCAGGGACTTGGGTCAGGAGCCAGGGCTGTCCTGAAGGTGTCCTGGTGCTGCCTGCAGGTACATCGAGGCCTACACGAGCTGTGTGGTGGCACAGGCATTTCAGAAAGCAGCAAAGAGAAGGAGGTGAGCATGGGCTTGCATGGGCTTGAGAAGATGGGGGTGCTGGGAGGGTAGGGTTGGGGAAGCCCTGAGTATCACAGTGTGACTCCTGAGGCTCAGGGCTCTGACAACTCCACACTGAGCCACGCTGGAGGAGAGGGAGGGACGCCGACTGTGGCAGTGAGCAGAATCCAGATAGCCTCCGGGTCACAGCAGGGAAGGAGGGCCTCTCCTGCTCTGGGTGGGTGGGTGGTTGTCATCTGGAGTCCCTTCGAAGTCTGAGATACTGCTGCTGCATTTCTGATAGAGCTGCCCGGGCCCTGTGTTTGTCTGATGGGAGAGGGGTTTAGGATCTGGGACTGGTCCGGGACCTGGGAGGCTTGGAGGTGTGGGAGTAGAAGAAGAGAGAGTGAAGATGGTGTGTGGTCTTCCCTACACTCAGCCAGTACTGGCAGAGCCAGCGGAAAGCACTGCGGCAGCAACTGTCAGGCGTGAGCTCAGAGGGCCCAGTGGGCGCCTCGCTGGTCCAGGTCCTCCGCCAGCCCCTCACCCATCACGTGCAGCAATATGTGTGCCTCCTGCTGAGTCTTGGGGACACCATTGGGGAGGTAGGTAGCAGAAGAGGGGACGTGTGGGGGAGGGGACTGCTGGCACCGCCCACCAGGCCTGTTGCCTGTGTGAAGTTGAGGGAGGGGAGGGATGGGACCCTCCTTGTTCAGGAACCTGGGTTTGGGAAGGACCAAGCCATGTCTTGCATGTTGGGCACTGACCCTGCGGCCACTGGTGCTCTCTGGCGCTAATTTGTGCCCCTTTCAAGGCCCTGAGTGCGACGCCCTGGCCATGTGCAGCCCAGAGGAGGCAGACCTGCTGCGGCTGGTGGGGGTCTCAGGGCACATGGTCCTGTTCTGGGGTGTTTTAAAAAAATCTGTCTTTGCCCTGGGGAGTGGGTTCTGAGACACACGGCCCCGCCTGGTGGAGCCAGCAGAGACCCACAGTGTAGAATCATGTACTGGGGGTGAGGACCCATGTCACTGAGACCCATTTGGGGGAGTCAGTGAGTGTCCTGACTCTCCTGAAAGCACCTGCATGTCGCCTCTCCCCAGAGGAGGATCTGGCAGGCAGAAAAGGAACAACTTTGGCTTAGACCCAGACCTTGTTCCTGTAGGGGCCAGGCCAGGCTAGGGCAACTGTCAAGGTGGGGGAAGGCTTCGACAAGCCCCCTGCCCCAGCTGCTCTGTTCCCCATCAGTGTCACCCAGCCCGGGAGCTGGTGGTGCATGCAGCCACCGTCTTTGGGAACCTACAGTCCTTCATGGGGCAGGCGCTGGACCAGGCTGTGGCCACACAGGTGCTCTGGTCCACACTGAGCAACCGGCCGAGGGTGAGTTTGGGGCCTGAGGGTGGTTAGTAAAGGAGTCTCTGTTAGGCAGTGACCTACCGAGTGGCTTGTGCTGCTTGCTGTCCTCCCTGTACCTCAGCTTCCCCTCTGTGAGGTCCTGTCTACCCATCCTTGTCCATTTGCTGGCTCTAGGAAGGAGTAGTCAGTAGAATTGGGGTGTCCCCTGACAATTATACTCCATGTCACCGCCCATCATGGCAGGTACTGCCCCTGCAGGGGTGCAGTCCCTGTGTCCTGAGAGGGCCTGGTCATTTGGGAATCATTATCCACTGGGGCCCAGGAGATAACTAGAACAGGGGACAGGACCAAGAATTGCCAAAGAGATGAAGTTGGAGAATTCTGGTGAGAGTTGGTGGGCTCAGCCATGGCTCAGGCGGGGTGTGGGAGGACAAAATGAAGCTTCAGGAGAAGTTGTGCTGCCCTGCTGGGAGTGGTTAGGCATGGCTCTCCAGGCCTTAGGCTGTGCCCATCACTGACCCGGGGTGCTGTGGGGCACTCCAGTTTCTTGGAGCAGGCCTCTAGGAGAGGCTCAGGGTGTGAGGGGAGGGGACCCGAGGAGGCAGGGTGGCCGAGCCTTGGTTCTCCCTTTTGGTCTCCCCAGGATGTGCTCTATACCTCTTCTCGCCGACTCTTGCAAGACAGCCAGGAGGTACCCGTGACTGTCTCCCCGCTGCGGGCCGAACGCGTGCTGCTGTTTAATGATGCCCTCGTCCTGCTGCAGGTGGGAAGGACTTGGGGTGACAGAGGGGTTGTGGGGTGTGGTTGAAAAAAGTGAGAAAGAGACAGAGCTAGGAGGTCACTGCCCAGAAACTTCTGGAGGAAGGGATGGTTCTCAGAGCAGGTATGGCATTCAGGGTAGAAGGAACAGCATGGGCAAAGATTCAGACTGAGGAGAGCTGGCGGTGAGCTTGAGAAGGTGCAAGTGTGGAGGGACCATGGCGCCGTGTAGAGAGGACTCAGCAGTGAGGGCTGCAACCTCTGGGCAGGAGGAGCCTTAGAGAGGTTTCCAGCACGAGCTGACAGGGGCCAGCTGTGCATTTTCAGAAGACCAGTCCGGTGGCCTTGATGAAACAGGGTGTTTGTGTGTGGAGGGAAGGCTGACCCCAGGTTTCTGGCCAGGCCCTGGGGTGGGAATGGAGATGGAGCATCTGCCCTTAAGGTGGCATGTGAGGTGGGCATGTGAGGAGCTCAGTGCTGGTGTGGGGACACCAGAGCAGCCTGGGGACATGAGAATGTGCCAGTGGCAGGTGCTTGGAGGCCAGACTGGACTGAGGAGTAGGTGAGCCTCTGTGCTGGTCTCTGGACGACACCTGTGCCCTGTCATCTTGCAGGGCCACAATGTCCACACCTTTGACCTGAAGCTGGTGTGGGTGGATCCTGGGCAGGATGGGTAAGTGACCCCCTCCACTGACACTCCTGGCTTTCCCTCTCTCCACCCCATGAAACTTGCCGGAACCCAGGGCTCTGCCTTGCCCCACCCCCAACCCCTCCTGCACAGAGCTGAGGCCTGCTCATCACCTCTGTCTGTCTAGGAACACATTCCACCTCCTTACCCCAGAGGAAGAGTTCTCCTTTTGTGCCAAGGATCCTCAGGGCAGCGTGAGTGTGGGTGAGGGGCGAATTGGGGAGGCAGGGTTAGGGCTGAGGAAAGGTGATAGACAGGAGGGGACGGGAAGACACAACTATGCAAGCCTGGAGGTCTCCATGGGTGTGCCAGGTCTCAGGATAGTGGTGAGAGAGCCAGGGATCAGCCTGGGGTCACAGCATCAGAATGCTTTAGAGAGTGGGATGCTTCTCTCAGTGAAGCCAGGTTCGGGGCCTGTGTTGATCCCCGTCTGGTTGTCTTGTCTGGCCCCACTGAGCAGGCCCTGAAGCTGCAGACAAAGATCTCAGGCCTGGAGGGAGGGCCCTAGAGAGCAGCGTGGAGCTGTTGGAGCTTCCCCCAAGTGACCGAGCAATGCTGGGAGTGAATCGTGGAGGGGGTGGGTGCCTGGAGTTGCCCCAGAAGGCTTCCTAAATGGGCTGCCTCCAGCAGCAGTGACTGTTTCCCTTGTCCCCACAGGTGGTCTGGCAGTGGAAGGTGACCCAGGCGGTATGCCAGGCCCTGCGTGGGAAGAAGGACTTCCCAGTGCTAGGGGCTGTCCTGGATCCCCCCAAGCCCCCCACCTGCCGCTCTGTAGCCTACACCTTCCGTGCAGAAGGCCGGCTGTGCCAAGCCACCTATGAGGGCGAGTGGTCCCGGGGCAGGCCCCATGGCAAGTGAGTGAACTTGTGGGAGCCTGAGGGGCAGACAGGACCCGTGTGGACCTGATCACCTAAGGGCACAAACCACAGACTCTTACTCCCTGTGGCCAGTTGGTCAATTTGTCCCCCAGAGTCTCTTTTAAGTTCTCCTGGACAGGAGCTGGCCCATAGTAGGTGTGTGCCAAATGGTCTTGATGCTGGTGACACTAGATGGCATGGGGCAGGTGTCAGGCTGCCGGTCTCAGGGCCAGCAGTTAGTTGCCCATTCACTGTCAGGAGGGAAGAAGCGTAAGCCTCAAAGCCATGTAGCATTACCTGGCAGTGGTGGAAATGGTTTGCAGACATTCTGTCTTCATGGATCCTTACAAGGATGTTCTGGGGTGGCATTATCACTTGATTTAGAGGTGCGAAAACTGAGACCCAGAGACTAGTATGATTTTACCAAGGCCTCAGGGCACATTATAGGGCGAGCCTGGCCTCAGTAGCAAGTCATGACCCTACAGGTAGGTAGGCTTTTAAAGAACATGTGACATCCCCCTATGTTGCAGCTGGGAAGACAGGTCCAGAAAGCAAAAGGGACTTCCAAGGTTGTACTGTAAAGCAGACCCATTCATGTTTGCCTCTTTCCAGAAAGGGCTTGAGGAAACTTATATACAAAAAGACAGAAAAAGCACTGATGTGTCAGAAGAGGGAAGGATGGTAGAAACCCCACTGACTGGCATTTGGCTTAAGCTTAAAGTTTAGCTCTGAGCTTCCTGTTGGTCAAGGGAAAAAGGGTCCTTGGATGATTCTAGGGTTCTTCCTATGGGGTATGGCTGTGAGGCTGTTAGGGCAGTTGTGCCAGGAGAACAGAAGGGCTGAGAGCCTTTGTGGGGTCTTAAATCTCAGAGATGAGGACTGGGTGGGGGCATAGAGTCCAGCCCAAGGGGAGTCCAGGCTTCTGAGATCTTGTGGGTTGAGGGATGGGTCTGGTGGGCCTGATGCCCATGGACCTTGACTGTGTTCCAGGGGAACCCTGAAGTGGCCAGATGGGCAGGAACACGTGGGAGATTTCTGCTTGGGCCTGGAACACGGGTAAGGCTGGGCTGATGCTGGAGTGTGTGTGGGCAGGGGTGTGGTTTCCACCCCTGAAAAAGCTCGTTGGAGGCAGGACTCTCCTGGGCGGCCTAGAGGGAGTGTGGTGGTCATTGCTGCGGCCTCAGTGCTGACTTCCTTCCTCCTGCAGCTTTGGCATCCGCCTGGTGCCCCAGGACTCTGAAGACAAGTTTGACTGTTATAAGTGCCATTGGAGGGAAGGCAGCATGTGTGGCTATGGCATCTGTGAGTAAGTGACCCTCGGCCTGATGGCAGGGGTGGGCTCCTGGGATGGGCATGTCCCAGAGCCCTGTGAAGCAGGACCAGTCATTGGTGACCTTCTCTAGGTACAGCACTGAGGAGGTGTACAAAGGCTACTTCTACGAGGGCCTGAGGCATGGATTTGGGGTCCTCGAGAGTGCCCCACAAAGCCCTCAGCCCTTCAAGTACACAGGCCACTGGGAGAGAGGCCAGAGGAGTGGTTATGGCATTGAGGAGGACAGTGACAGGTGAGTGGTGCGTAGCCACCCCCTGAGCAGGATAGGGGGCCAGAGAGGTCTCTCACTGACCACAGTGTCTCAGGGCACGGGCTCTTTGTAGTCAGTGGGTCCATTTCCCCCAAGTCTCTAAAGTCCCTCACTTGCTCTCCATTCCCTGGGGTGTTGCTGAGCTCAGCCTGAGGGATCCTCGACCTTGACACCTTCCCTGAGCTGCTGGAGAGAAGTTTATGCCCCCCAGCCTTGTCCTATCTGAGGATGACAGCTTCTAGACTCTGGGCCATGAGCAAAGCCCTGGTCTTTCACCTGGCATTCAAAGCCTCTGATGCCTGCCTGCCCCACACCCGTTGCCACCTGTGCACCCTTCCAACCTTCTCGACCCCTGAACATCCTCACATATCTGTTGTCCACAGCTACCTCCCTGGCTTTGCATGTGCAATAATGGCATGTCCCATCTGTCTTTCCCTGGGAAGCCTGCAGAATGTCCTCCCCAAGGCAGAGGCCCTTCTTCTACACTCCGTTCCCCTTGGCGGTCTTATGTCTGAGTTGAGTGGATTCAGGCGATGTCATTGCTTCTTATCTGCCCCCCAACCTCCACCCCATGCCAGCAGAGCACACAGAGGTGCATGGGAACAGTTCTGATCCAACTCTGGCCACTCCCCCCTCCTCCAGGGGTGAGCGCTATATTGGCATGTGGCAGGCTGACCAGCGCCATGGTCCAGGGGTCATGGTCACCCAGGCCGGTGTCTGCTACCAGGGGACCTTCCAGGCTGACAAAATGATGGTGAGTGGGGTGACCTGTGTGTGTCTTGAGCTACCCATTCCTTGTACTGAGACTGAAATTCTGGAGCCCATCCTATTTTGGAGGCCCCGAAGTTGAGCTGAGGCCTGCTGGGGTATATGGGGCACAAAGCTGGGTTTCTAAATGCTGGAGGGAGCCAGAACCTGGGCAGGAATCTGCTTCTGTCACCTACCTACCCTGGCTTTGGCCAAGTCCCTTCTCCCGGCCTCAGTTTCCCCATTGACAACTCTGGTTACTACTTAATGTAAAGACTTGATGAAACAGAAAGATCAAAAAGCGTGGTGATGATGATGCCAATAATCTCAGCAACTGACACTCATAGACCCGGAACTCGATGCCTGTCTCTGGGCTCCATCACCCATCATAATCTCATGGGATCCTCCCAGTGGACCTGTGGGTGATGCTATTGTTCCTAGTGCGGAAATGACAAACACGAGACTCAGATTGGTCAGGGAGCCTGTCCAGTGTCATACTGTCGCTGCGTGAGACCCAACCCAGGTCTCTGAGCTGTGGCACTTGCCCTCTGCCTCCTGACACCCTGCCTGGTGCTGGGCGCACGGTGGGGCTCTGGCCTCAAGGCTATTGTGACTTGCTTGTTTGTTGATGCTCTTCTTTGTTCTGGAAAGGATTGAAGGTGGCAGAGAAGGCAAGAAAATGGCTACAAACAATAGATTCAGAACACAAATTGTGTCCCATTTGACTCTGAGCTTCCTGGCAGTCAATATGGCAAGGGAGCCTCATTAGCGCCACTGTCCTGTCCCCTAGGACAGCACTTCTAAGCCATAGACAGGAAAACAAAGTTCCCCAGGGTGGTTCCTGAGAGGGGATGCTGGACAGGAGGAGCTGGGTCTCAGGGCACCAAAGACTGGCAACACACCTAGCACATCCTGGGAGGAGGGAAAGGGTCCAGGACCCTCTGCCTGTGGGTCAGTGCCCACCCCTTTCCCTACATCTCCTTCCCATCCTGGCTCTTCTTCACCCACCACTCCTTTTCTTCTGGCTTCCTTCACTAGGGCCCAGGGATCCTCCTCTTTGAAGATGACTCCTTGTATGAAGGCAGCTTCACCAGGGATCTGACCCTTGTGGGGAAGGTAAGGGTCACTGAGACCCCACTCACTCCCTGCTGAAGCCTGGACTAGTTAGTCTCTTATCTTCCCCTTGGCCCCAGAGCTAAGGGTGTGGGCAGTGTATGGGAAAGGTGGGGGCGGGCTTCTCCCACCTTCACCACCTCTAGTGGGTGAGCACAGCAACCCTCCCCTGGAGACTCAAGAGGGGACAGGTGTGTTGCTTTGAGAGCAGAGGGTGCTGGTGGTGACCCCCTACCAGATCCCTAGTTGGGAATCCCCTTCCATCATCACCATCAGTGCCTGGAGTAGGTGCCCACAGTGTCACTGTCCTTCAGTGTATTCCTGGCCGAGCTAACCCAGAAGGCAGTTGTGTCCCTGCTGGGGCCTTTGGAAATGTGGGGACTGTTTTGGTTTTGTAATAACTGGAGAGCACTGTGGCATCTAATGGTGGAAACCAGGAGTGCTATGAATGGGAAAACCCCATGTGACAAGGAATTGCCCCTCCTAGGCCTCTGCCTAGCTCTGGACTTACCCACCCCCAGCCCCATGTGGTGGTTCTCCCCACTCTGACCTGTGAGTCCCTTCTCTCTCCCCATCTCCTACATCAGAGATGAGCCCTGGGTGGCCAGCATAGCTGCAGGGGTGGATTATGAGTCTCTTGGGGTGGGACAGATGCAGCAGTTGGTGGGAAGGCCAGCTATCAGTCTCTGGCCTCTGACCAGGCTGCACAGGTATGAGGCTTGTGATTAGTTGGAAGGACAACTGGCAGACTGCAGACAGACTTCCCTGTCTCCCTCTCCTGCCTTCCAGGGCAAGTTCACCTTCCCCAACGGCTTTACTCTGAAGGGCTCTTTTGTCAGCGGGTCAGGGAGAGGACTGCACATCCAGGGCGTGCTGGACACGGCTGCTCTCCCACCAGATCCAAGCAGCACCAGAAAGAGGTGAGAACCTGACCTTCTGACCCTGCATTCTCAAGACAGCCTGGGGGTGTATCTGTGTTCCTACCCTAGACTCAGGCCTCATCAGAGGGGTTTTTCTGTATCTCTCTTACCCATTTGGAGAATTAAGAGAGCCCAGGGCATGAGCCCCTCAAGTCAGAGATTCTTTTAATCAAGGGTTGTGGCAATAATTCTATACTCAATAAAACGGGAGAAAAATATTACATGTAGGCTTTGCTTGGATCTTGCTATTTTTCTGGGAATGGTATGGACAGTTTACAAAACAAACTGAGCAGACAATAGCAAAATAGAAAATGGAAGTGTGACTTGAGCTTATGAAAAGAAAAGGAGACGCAGATAGGTCCTACAATGGTAATGATTGAGCATTGGCCTGGCTCAGAGTTCTCTGACAGCCGAGGTGAAAAAGGAAACTTGCTATGTGGAATCACTGTCAGTATCATGGGGTATTTGAGGATGGTGGGGATAGACTTCTACCCCACGGGGACAAATTTCTTCCTTAGAAAACCGTAGCTCAGCAGACTCTTGCTATGTCTATTGAGGAAGATGTGGTTTTTACTGATGAGGGAATCTGTGGGTGGTGGTTCTTTCGGGGCATGCTCCCAGAAGCATTTCAGGTGCAGGGAGAGGGTGGAGTTGAGTCCTTGATGCATTTTTCCTGCATGCTTCTTCTCCCCAGCAGCAGGCACTAACAGTGGCAAACCCTAGGGGGCATGACCCAGTGGGGATAGGGTGCAGGTATAGGAAAACCTGAATGTGACATGGGAGGGACACACACGTAGCCAGAGCCTCAAGCTCAGGCAGGAACCAGGTGTGGTGGGAGGGAGGTTGGGTCCTGTGGCAGGGGACTCCTGGGCCTTGGGCACTGGTCTCTCTTTGGCCAAGACCCCACTCTCTGGACTCGGCTCTTCATATCTTTTTATCTCCTTTCCAGGAGCGTGTCCTTTGTCTTCTGCTGCTTTTCTTTTCCCCTCTCTGCCTCTTCTTTCCCTATTGAAGCCCTGGTGATCGTCCCCCATCCACATCTATCCATCCACCCTTCCTAGGCCCTGACTCTGGGTATCCCCACCTCCCCAAGAGTCTGGACGGGTTCCTGCCCACCACCCCTGCACCCCCACTTCCTGTTCCCAATGCCTCCCTCGCAGGCAGCTAGGTCTGGGCTCCTTCCCCGTGGAGAGCCGCTGGCAGGGCGTCTACAACCCCTTCCGGGAATTTGTGAGAGCCGGCTGCCCTGGGCATCTGCAGGAGGCCCTGCTGGGACTCCATGTGCCCAGCCAGAGGGAGCTGCGCAAGTCCCAGGAGTGTCTGTGCTGTGAGAGGTGAGGTCCTGGCGTGTGTGTGTGTGTGCGCGTGCACACCCATGGGGGCATGCAGAGGGCCAGTGTTGGGGGGCTTAGAGTGGGACGGGGAGGAAGACTTCCTTGGAGTCGCCCTGGGCCCAGGGTAGGTGAGACGCATGTGCATGCTGCCCCAGGACCCACCCTGAGGACAGTGCAGGCAGAATGGAAGACATCCTGGAGGAGCTGCTGCAGCACCGGGAGCCTGAGGCCCTGCAGCAGTGCCTCAGGAAGGTGAGGGCCCTGGGGGAGGGTGGCCTATGGGGAGCCGACCATCTTACTGTCCCCTAGTGCTGACCAGAGGGAACAGGCCTGTGGGTCCCTTCTCAGGGCCTTGGTGTTCCCATCTGTGCAATGGGAGCAACCTTGGGAAGCCTGTCAGCATGCCCTTGATGCTGGGTGTCTCTTTGTTGTCTGCACTGGCCCAGGCTCTGAACAACTCACTGCATCCCCTCGGGAAGTTGCTCCAGACGCTGATGCTGACCTTCCAGGCTACTTATGCTGGCATTGGGGCCAACAAGCACATGCAGGGGCTAGCCCAGGAGGAGGTGAAACAGCATGCCCAGGAACTCTGGGTGGCCTACAGGTGAGCTTGGTGGCACGTGGGGACAGGCATTGCCCAGTGACCCCAGAAGATAGGGCTCTGCCCTTCCATGCCTCTGCTCTGCCTGGCACCCTAAACAGGAATGGTGCTTCTACCTCAGGGCTAGATCCAGAAAGAACCAGAGGGTGGACTGGTCAGTATGCAGCTGGTGAGCAAGGGCGCTAGAGGGTGGGGAGATGATCCAAGGCCTGGCCACAGCCAGAGCGCAAGCCCCAACCAGGCCTCGGGCTGAGCCCTGAGCCTCAGGAAATGCTAACCCCATTGTAAGCTGAGCTTGAGCCTGTCTCAGACCCCATCTCCACTCCCAGCTGAGCCATGACCCCATAAACACTACAGATAGGGCCTTCAACCCGAGTTGCTTCTTTTTTTTTTTTTTTTAAAGATTTATTTATTGATGCATGTAAGAACTGGGGTAGAGACCAGAGGTGCGGGGGGTGAGAGGATTCACCAGAGACAGAGCGGGGAACAGAACAGGCGGATCTACTGAAATACACTGCTGAGGGGAGCAGCAGGCGAGACAGGAGAGGTCTGCTGCGCCATGTGGGTGGCTCCCTGGCCGGCCGGGGATCGAACTCATGCTGCAAAGACTGGGGATAGCTTCATAGGAGGCATCTTAATCCCTTGTGCCACCAGGAAGGCCCCCGAGTTGCTTCTGTTGCGGGGTTGCCTGGACCCTGGGGATGACGTCTATACTTCGGCCTCCTAACCGCTGAGGTTCGGGCAGTTGCCTCATGCGCCACAGTCTGGGAGGTGGAGTCCCCTGCCTTGGACTTTGGTGATGAGAGGGTTGGGCTCCATGCTGTTCCTCTCATTGGTTTGCAGGAGTATGCTCAATGTTGCCTTACAGCGCAAGGGCCTGGCGCCAGAGGAAGATGCAGATGCAGAGACAAGGTGACCGCCCCAGGCCCCCATGGGATCGGTGGGCTCCTTGCTGCTAGTGCAACCAGACTCACATGCACTGACATCTCACACCTTGATCCTGTGGCCTCCCTTGGGGGAAACTGGTGCTTCTATGGGAAGTGTTTGGGGCTTCTGCTGTTGACCAAGCATTGTTTGGTGACCGTAGGAGGAGTGAATGGCCCATGACCTCTATTCCCTGGGCACGCTGGGAGGGGGCACTGCCACAGCACATCAAAGGCATGTTTGTTCTAAATGTGTTATCCCATCCCCAACTCTCGGGTGCATGGAGGGTGAGCTGCTACCCTAGGCACCTTCATCCTCCCAGCACATAGCTGGCGAAACTGAGTCCTGGCAGCAGCTGAACCTGAAGTATTAAGAGGGTCATTAAATCTGTCTCCCCCAATTCTCTGAGATGAAACTTTACACTTCGCCTTTAGATTCCTGATCAGAGGCCGTTCTATCACTGTGTTGCAAAAGGAGTGGGATATGGGGTTAGACTTTACAGAGAACTTCTCCCTGGAGTCCTGGAAAGTATAGAGAACTAGGAGGTAGAACTGGACTTGCCTGGAGTGACCCCTGAATGCTTTGCTGCAAGCTATTTGTCCACCCAGGGCCCTGGCTTTGTTTTCAGTCAAAATCCTGCTCTACCTGCCATGTGGGTTCTCAAAGTCCAGTGAGAGACTGAGGTGGCCACAGATTGCAATTGACTGTGACAGGGCCAGGAACAGGCTCAGGAAGGGCTTTCCAGGGGAAGCAGGTGGCTGGAGGCTGGGACGGTTTGTTGTGGGTTGAGGGGCTCTTTGGGCTCTTTGAGAGCTCCCCTGCCTGCTGCCCCCAACCTGTCCTGGCCGCTCTCACCCAGGGACCTGCAGGTGCATGGCTTGGTGCTGCCCCTTGTGCTGCCCAGTTTCTACTCGGAGCTCTTCACTCTCTACTTGCTCCTTCATGAGAGAGAGGACAGTGTCTACAGCCAGGGCATCGCTAACCTGAGTCTGTTCCCCGACACCAAGCTGCTTGAGTTCCTGGATGTGCAGAAGTAAGCCTCCCCACCGCCCCAGGCTGTGTTTGCTGGGTTCTTGGGTAGCAGGGGATACAAACTCAACTCAACTTGTCTTCAGGGGTGGCACGGTGGTGGTGGTTAATTGGCTCATATACCCCAAAATATAGCCCTGGGACCGTGAGTGCCTGGATTTCAGGTGTGATGCGATCTAGGTGCTCAACCCCATGACAAAGGAAAGCAACTCCCCTCTTTCTCTGTTGGCCTATTTCTGGCTCCCCTTATGGTGGCAAATAGGCAGCAGTCACTTGAGTCTGCCTCCTCCTCACTGATGTGGTGTGGCCAAATTGGCCAGTTCTGCTTCCATATCTACCACTGGGGCGGGGGCAGGGCCACCTGCTCTGGCTCTTGGGCTGAGAGAGTGTGTGGAGGGGGCAGAGATCCTTAAGGGAAGGCTGAGGAAGCATGTTGCAGCCTCCTTTCTACCCTCAGTTGCCAAAATGTCCTTTTATCGCAGCCCTTCTGGTCCATCAATACTATGAGTGATCCCTGCCCAATGGGGGGTGTGGACTCTCCTCCCACCCCAGCCTCCTCGCCTCACAGTGATGGTCCTCCCCACCAACCCTGGCAACCCTGTTTCCTCTTCCATCACAGTCACCAGCCCACTGCTAGTCACCCACTGCTTCCCAAGTGTCCCTCGTCCCTGCTCCACCTGTTGCCTGGGCGCAGCTTGCTCCACTCCAGCCTCCCTGCTCCACTGTTTCCCTGAGGTGCTGCCCTGTGTGCTGCCCGGTGCCCAGCGCCTGTCTTGCTCACCAGACTGCGCAGGCTCACGAGCAGTCTCCTCCTCTCTCACCCCGCGGCCTGACCACTAGCAGTGTTAGGAGGGTGCCTTGGGCCACACCCCACCCACTATGGGAGGCTGTTGCGGACTCAGATCCTGCACTCAGCCCTGCTGGGGGACCTGGTGGCCCAGGAATTTTCCCTTTGCCTTCAGAGTCTGCCTCCTCCTCTTGGCAAAGCCTCCCTTCTCCTTTAATTTCAGGCACCTGTGGCCCCTCAAGGACCTCACATTGACAACCAATCAGGTGAGAAGGTGGGCCTGTTGCCTGACCCTGATAGGGTGAAGTCTGATCCTGAATTGGGCCCCCAGAGTTTGTTCAGGCATCTGCTAAGCAGCCCTCTGTCCCCAAGGCTGGTTGGAGGTGGCAAAGAAGCTGAGGCAGGCAGCGGGTCGAGGGAGGAGCGGCCCGGCTCCCAGTATGGTTCTGGTTCCCCGTGTGGGTGGGAGTCAGCTGCATCACAGTGACCAGACTCCTTCCCTTTACTGATTGTGTGACCATGGGTGCCTCAGTTTCCTTATCCATGCAAGACCTCCCTGCTGCAGTTGTAGTATTACCTCCTGGGCTTGTTGGGAGAGGGAGGGGGGTGGTACACCTGGGCCAGTGGTTCTCAAAGTGCCTGCCGGGCCAGCTGCATCAGCACCTGGGCATCTGTTAGACAAGCAGATTCTTGGCTCTACCTCAGACCTACTGAGTCAGAAATTCAGGAAGTGGCCCTAGAACTTGTGTTTCGGCAAACCTTGGGTTCGAGAGCCTTTGGCAGAAGTGCTCAGAACTGGGAGGGTCCCAGCGGCCACTGGCCAGAAAATGATTATCTGCCTTTTTATTTTATACCCCTAATCTTCTGGAGACTCACTTTACTGTTGAGCAAACTGAGGCACACGATGGGCACTGGGTGAGCTGTGACTTCTCTGGGGTCATTCAAGTCTCTGGACAAGACTGTGCTGGAGCCAGTGATAGGGCATGGATGGAGGGGTAGCTCAGGGCCAGCCCTGGCCCTGGGAGAAGGGGGTGAAAGAACTGGGGGGACCATAGCCTTATCCATTCTGCTCCCCACACCATGCAGAGATACTCTCTAGTCAGAGACAAGTGCTTCCTGTCAGCCACAGAGTGTCTGCAGAAGATCATGTGAGTCCATGCCCTGGGGAACGGGGAAGGCGGGAGGCAGAAGTGTGGGGGCCCCTGGTTGGGACTCCTTGGGGGCCTTGGTCTGGAACCAGCTACCTTGTGTCAGGACCACAGTGGACCCCCAGGAGAAGCTGGAGGTGCTGGAGAAGACATGCGGGGAAATCAAGAGCACCGTGTCGCGGGTGCTGGGCCAGGAGCACGAGCTGCCCATGGATGACTTGCTGCCGCTGCTCATCTACGTGGTCTCGCGTGCTCGGTGCGCTGCCAGGCTTAGCCGGGAGCTGCGGGGTGGGCTGCGGGAGAGCCCCAACTTCGCCCCCCAACGTCAGGTCCTATGGACACTGGCTTTCTTTGTACATGTGAGGAAGCTGAAGTCCAGAGAGGAGAGGGCCCTATGGTCTCCCCCAGGGTATGTGGGCACCATACCCCAGCTGCCCGTCATCCAGGCCAGGGCTCCTCCCCCAGCTGCTTGGTGCCATCCCTGGTGGGCTCCCTTTTTCTTACTGTGGGCTGGTTGTTCTTCAGAATCCAGCACCTGGGAGCTGAGATCCACCTGATCCGTGACATGATGGACCCCATCCACGCGAGAGGCCTGTATGACTTCCTGCTCACCGCCCTGGAGGTGAGGGGCAGAGGCAGTAGGCCAGGCAGGAATGCCCTGGCTACAGGGACAGACCCCTTCCTCCTGTCAGACGCCATCACGGAGATAAGGCTCTCCTGTGTCTCTATGGGGAGGGTCCTTACAGAGCCCTTGGTTCTGACCATGGCGGGGGGGCCATAGTGCATCCCAGTCATAGGGACACCAGGGCCCTGTGTTTTAGGCTGCATCCTGTTGCACAGGCCTCATTTCCTTGCTGAGGACCGAGTTGGAGCCCTGGCGGGCCTGGGAGGTGGGCATATCCTGGCATGAGGCCTGAGAGCCTGTGCCTGTGTCTGGGAGCAGAAAAGCCAGCTGGGCTCAGCCTGGCCTCTCTCCCCTAGTCCTGTTACGAGCACATCCAGAAGGAAGACATGAGGCTGCACCGCTTGCCCAGCCGCTGGGACTCCAAGGAGCTCTGGTAGCTTGGCCTTTTCTAGATTAACTGCAGAAATGAGAGAGGCCGCGGTGGACTTCCTGGAGGAGCAAGCACAGCCCAAGGGGCAGTGGGCAAGATGCGCCCTGGAGGCGGCACCTGGAGTTGATGAGCAAGAGGGCAAGCCCGTGGCTGCCCTGACTGGGGTAAGGTGAGGGTGATGGAGTGGCTCCTGAGCTGGTGGTTTCCTGCCGCTGGGCCAACCTTGGATATGGCCTCCTCGACCTGTAGTCGCTCACAGACTGTGGGCAAGGAGCCCCGGCTTCTTGCCTGAGCCTCAACTCCAAGTTATTGAACTTCTTTGGGCCTCAGTGTTACCATCTGTAAAATGGAGGACTACTAGATCATCGTATGGGACCTTCCATCCATCTGGCTGGGTTCTAGAATTTTCTGGTGATCACCTGAGCTGCAGACAGAGGGCAAGGGAGAGACTGCTCGCTGACAGTCCCCAGGCAGTTTTGTGACGGGCTGCAAAGGGTCTCGCTGGCCCTGACCTTGAGAGGACAACAAACTCCCCCAGATTAAATGGCTTACCAGTGAGCAGGTGTCTGAGTCACATATCTGACCACCTCCACTGGTGTCCCTGGCTGAGCATTGCACCCCCAGGATCTGGGAGATGGTCTGATCCACAGGGTCAGGTGGGATGACTATAGGGTAAGTGAAATAGTCAGGCTTTTACACTGCTAGCCTCTGTAGCTATCACCTGTTGCCTTGAATGCAGGAGGCGCTTGGGAGCATGGGCGCGGGGGGCACAGGTGCCTGATTGTGGACACCTGGAGTATGGTGTGGCATGCATAAGTGGGCACACCTGAGCCTGGAGGCAGAGCTATAAGGGTGGCGTCACTTGGAGACAGACGGCTACAGTAGAACAGCTACTAGAGGGAGCCCACAAGAGAAGGCCAGAGAGAGCCCAGAAAGAAAGAGTAAAGATTCGCTGAGGGTTGGGAGGCCGATCAGCCTCCTGGCCCCGAGGCCTCCCTGCCTGGCCAGCATGCAGGCTTGCCCTACAAAAATTGACATAGAAAGAGCATTAAAGCCTGAAAAAACAAAACAAAACACACCAAGGCCTCCAGGGCTCTCCTTTATCCATCTGCCTGAATCGATAGAGAAGCTGGCCTGTGCCTGCTGGCACTGCAGTGACATCCAGCAATTTGTTACATTTAGAGCAGTAACTACAGTTTGAACAGTAGCTACAGTTTGGAAAAAGCACTCAGTGCTTTTACTTGTTGTCAGTGTTTTTGTTTTGACAGAACTCCAGTGATAATAAGGTGAAGCCAAGAGACATCACTCCATTGTCTAGAAAACTAATCTTGTTTCATCATTTTGGTGGAGACAAATGTTCCTCTCCCTCCACAAGACCATAATCCTCAGTTAAAGGAATGGGCAGTCAGGAGCTAGACTGAGGGTGGTGGTGATGGTCTGAGATAAGGGTCCCCAAGCATTTTGAGATGACAGGCCAGACCATGTGCTAAGAGGGTACCCAGAGAGCACACTCAGGAGGGCCTTGATGCCTCCCTCCACGCCCATCAACACTTTGTGTCAGTCCCAAGCCCAGCATGGACTGGACATCAGCTTTTCTCCTGTGTCCATGGAGAAGCCCACTTACCCAGGCCTGAGGCCTGTCCCAGCCTCCTTCCCTCCCTCCTGCTACCTATTCTGCCCCGGCCCGGCTGATACCATAAAGCAGCCAGAGGGAGCCTTGTAAAATAAGCCCTGCTTGTGATGGCATCTCTGAAAATTATCTGGAATAAAGCTCAAGCTCTTGCGTTGGCCCACAGGGCCCTAATCTCTCTGCCAGGCCCTCTGCTTCCCCATCCCACCCTCTGTGTTCTCTCCACTCCCTGCTCGGACCAACTTTGCTGTTTCTGGGGCTCTTGCAGAAACCTCCCCACCTTAGGACTGCTGCTTCTGTGTCCTCTGCCTGGATTTGTCCCCATGCTTCCCCAGGGCAAGAGTGTTCTTGTCCTTCAGGCCTTCAGCCTAAATACTGCTCCCCACGAGAGGCTTCCCTGACCCAGCCTGTCCACAGCTGCCCCTCCCTGCACTGTCATTGTGCACATGTGCAGACGGAGTCCTGGCTAAAGTTCCTGCTCCTGCTGGCCTGCAGGCCCCTATGGGAGGATTCCTTCACTCCAGGCACAGGGTTCAACAACTGAAGAAATGACAATGATGAGCTGCAGCTCCCCACTGCCTTCTATGGAACCTGCATCTGCCCCTCTAGCCAGTCCATCCCAAGTCAGGTGCTGGACATCAAGTCAATTTCAATGAATAAATCAGCAAGGGCACCCATGGAAGGGACTAGAACATTATTCATAACACACCTGAGATTGAGGAGCCATGTCCTGGTCCCCTCAGGACCATACCCCAATTTTACACAGAAACATTCCATTCATTCAGTGCAGCAGGCGGGGCAAGACAGGGCAAGGACGGCAAGCAGTGGAAATAAGACTTGCCTGGCCCCGGTGTGGGGAGGAGGCAGCACTTTCCAGCCTCAGGGGCCTCCTTGCTGCCCTGGCACCATGGGGAGGGGCAGCAAGGAGGCCTTGAAGCATCAACTCTTTCCTCAAATTCACACACTAAGTTTGTTGAGGGTGAAATCCCTCAGCCCTGATCAGACCCTGGATGGATGGGAAGTGGGGGGGTGGTGGTGGTGGAATATGATGTGTGGCTTTTCCTGGAATGGAAGGAGTGGGGGGGTAGAGGGCAGGACTAGGGAATAGGGTATCTAACAACAAGGTTGTGTGACTGTGCCCCTGGGATTTGACTGGTTCCCCCATCTTGAGACCCCTCAGCACTCCTGTGGCCCACACCAGGCAGTGCAGGGAGACAGGGTTAACTAGCTATGTGAGGTGTCTTGGGTGGAGGTAGCTGGTGGTTGGTGACAGATGAATCTTGTTTCTCCACCAGAACCATGATGTCTTCCTTACTCTGCTGGCTTGAAAGAACCTGCAGTGACTGGTCTGCCCAGGGCAGCATCTAGGTTCTTCCTTTGTGTGCTGAGGTGTGGGTGCTCTCTGCACCTGTAGGGTGGCAGCCTGAAGCTGGGTGAACATCAAACTGGCACCTCTCACGTCTGCTCTTAAGCTTTTCCTTCTGAGGCAAGCTCTTGCCTCCCACACAGTTGCTGCATTTCTCATGGGAAGAACTGGGGGGCCCTCTTTGGGGGGTGGCACAGGGAGGAGGGAACCAAGGCATATGGGAGAGACCGAGGTTTATTTCATGCATTGTCGGTCATGCAGCCAAATCAGGCTCAATTAATATCAGAGATTAAAAGAACCTACGAGAAACCAGGTGGATGCGGATAGCAGGTGCAGACGCCATGAACAGCACTGCAAGGGGCGGCAGGAAGCCCGGCTCTGTCCCAGACACCAGTGCGGATGCCAGCCATCAAGGGTCACACATTTCATTGAGGCTTGGCCACCGGCCGGTTCCAGGGCCAGTCACCCCCAGAGATAAGCAGAGGTGACCAGAGTCACTGAGGTGAACATTGTACCTGCAAAGTCAACATCTCCAAGGTCTCTGATGAAGGTGACTGATGATTGAGTGGCTTTTCGTGTCCTGTGTGCCCGGTCCTCTCAGGTCCTGGTCGCTGCTGACAAGGAGCAAGAGACTCCCCGCCTGTGTGGTCTTGGCAGGGAGAGGGCACAGAGGGGTCCCTGTCTTGGTGGATGGCACCGTGGAGCTGGATCTTGAAGAATGAATGCCATTGCCAGATAAGGTGGCATACCCACAGAGGGAAAGGCAGGGACAGAGGCTGGAGCTGTGGCAGGCCTGGCTCCCCAGAATGTAGAGAGTTGGCCAGTGAGAAGTCAGATAAAGCAGAAGAGAGAACGACCTTTAAGGTCTGGGAGAGACTTTTTCCGGACAGGAAGGCTCTGCGGGCCAGTCTCCCCCAAAGGCCCAATATGCCCAGAGTAGGCTTCTTGTCACGCTGGTCTCTCAAGGTCTGTGTCTATTCTGGTACTTAACAAATGCAGATTGTTTGGGGTTGATTGCTGCGAGGGCCCTGAAGGCTAGGGGAAGCTTCTGTCCTTGCCTAAGTTCTTCCACCTTCCCCAAATCAAAGAAGAACTCATCATGCTTCTGGCCCTTTTCCTAGTCAAAGAAGCAAACACTGCTCCCCTTTTTATGACCTAGAAGAATGTAGTGTTAGGGGGAAAGGATGTCCTGAGCTAATCCCATATAGGCTTTGTGGACCCCACCCGCACTCCAGACTAAAGCCATCAAGTCATTGGGAAAGACAAATCCCGTCACCACCAAAGGGAGGGTGGCTGGGACCTGAGGGTGGAGTTAAGCAGCCAGGTTTGGTATAATAACCAAACACGTGGGCCTTGGGGGGCTTGCTCTTTCTTGCTTGCCTCCTGGCTTCACGGCTCCTGGCTCGCGGCCAGCTCTCAGAGCGCCATTTGGGATTCCAGATTGGCGGATCGGGTAGGACGCATTTAAAACTTTGTCTCCCACTTTTCTCCCTAAGTTGTACATTTCCTCATTTCCCCTTCCCTTGTAAATAAACCTTTTATTAACCTTTCGCGTGTGCCTGCAGTAGAGCATTGATAAGTCCTTTTAAGCGCGCGGGTGAGGACCCACAGTCAGGCACCCCGTTTTGTATCGGGGCTGCCCTATAACAGTAGTACCCCTGGTCTGTCACATGACGTGTCCCCCACTGGTCTTTGACACCTTAAGACCCAAAATGCAAGATAAATAATCCTGGTCTGCTCCGTTATTCTTTAGAATTGATACCCATGTAAATTCTGCAGGTGAATGTTATTAAAGTGATTGTTTTCCCCTTGCTCGCCCATCTGATGCTGTTTGATGACTCATCCAGCCTGAGAACATGGCGAGGTAAGGCTGACCTCCCCTGCCAGCCAGCCACAAGCCCTCCCCTTAAACACTGGGCCTCAAGAATGCAGTGGAAGGGGGACTGAGTGCCTTACAAGGCTGGGTAGAAGGTCACGTGGCTTTTGCCAGTTCTGGGGCGGAGGGGCGCTGGTTCAGTGAGATTTAACCACAGTGTGAGAAGTCTTACACCTCCAAGCGGAGACTCACTTGAGAACCGGGCTGAGAGAGTGAGGGAGGGCGGGCTAGGCTAGGAAGAGAGGAGGGGAGGGGAAGGAAGAGAGGGGGGCCCACTGGAACCCAAGTCATCTGGATTGCTGCGGCCTCCAGCCAGACCCAGCTGTGAATGAGAGCGCTGCGAGGACTTATGAGATCACCCCGAGCAGCAGCTGCCTGTCTGAGCCCCATCAATTCCAGATCCATGAGCAAAATAAGGAACTGCCATTACCTCATGTCATTGTTTCGAGGTATCTTTTGCTGCAACAATAACCAGAGCAATCCTTTCTCCTTATCTACTATTCATCATGGAATTAAATTTTTATGTACTTCCTTTTTAAAAATGGAATTTATTAAGATGGGAGACCTCCTATCCTTATGTGAGTGGAAATCCATGAGCGACAGTGGAAGGCAAGCGTGTAGCGAAACGGAGGAAGCAACCGTGTGTTTACTTTCTTCGTAGGCACTGTTTTCTGCCCAGGGCTTCACAGGGGTGTGGGGGATGAGGGGGGTTGATTCTGACCTGCAGTTTCCCAGCACTTGCAGAACCAGTTCATCAACCCCCCCTTGAAGGCCCCTGTACCCACTGAGATGCACCCCTTTCTCACAGCTCTGGGTCCCATGGTGCACATTTTCTGAGTTTTTAAGTTTTGATATTTTTAGCCTCTTCTATTTCTTCCCTAGCCCTAGGGAGAGGAAGCTATTTTCTATCATTGTTTGAGAATTCTTTTTTTTGTCTTTTCAGTTCTTCATTTGCTGGGTGTGGTAGGCAGAGTAATTGTCTAGCAAAGACATCATTGGCCTAGAACCTGGGAATATGTGATATTCCGTGGCAGCAGAGACTTGGTGGATGTGACTAAGCACCTCGAGACGGGTAGATTAGCGTGGGCTCTCTGGGTGGGTCCAATCGCATTACAAGGGTCCTTAACAGTGGAAGAGGGAGACGGAAGAGGATCAGAGGGAGATGTGAGCACTGAGAGACAGCTGTAGGGGTGCAGTGCTGCTGGCTTTGGGGGTGTTGGGTGAGGGATGAGCACAGGAATGTGAGAGCCTCTCCAAGCTGGAAAATGTAAAGAAATGGATTTGCATCTAGAGACTTCTGAAGGATGGGCCTCCCTAGGATGATCAGAACAGGCTTCCTAAAACATGTCATGGGGCATGTGGATTATGTTGAGGTCAATCAAGGCCTTAGTGGTTCACTTATACCTAGAAGAATGAAAATTGGGGGCATTACCCAGAATGAGTTTTTTGTTAGAAATAATCTTTCTATCTGAGAAACTTATTTACATGACAGCACAAACACCTAATTATAGAGCATCTGGTCTTCATCTTGAGTCACCCTCTCCTCATTATGTGGGTCCCCCTCCTCTTTCCTTGAAGCCCTGGTACCTTATCCCATCCCTTAGCTTAGGATATGTGGCCTCAGTTGGCCCTACTTCTCTTTACAATCTATATCCATGTGTGCACTGATTCTCTATACACATGTAATTACATTTGTTCTTTTCTCCTATTAATCTGCATGATGTAAATTTGATTGCTCCACCAGTCCAAGAAGAATCCAGAAGGGGCTGGGGATATTTCCTCTCTGCACCTACACCCCCAAAAGGAAATAGGCCCTCCCAGCATTTTGATTTTAGCCCAATGAGAGCTATGTTGATTTTCTAACCTACAGAACAAAAAGATAATGAATTTGTGTTGTTTTAAGTCACTAAGTTTGTGATAATTTGCTACAGCAGCAATAGAAAACACAAACATTGGTTAACACTTTTACTGGTGTGTTTTCACTCCCCCTGCCCCAACTTCAGCTAATACAGAGATTTCCTCCAACTCCCTCAAGTCCCACATGCTCCCCTTGGCGCCAGATGATGGACAGTGTGCTCTCAGAGCCAGCCTGCCTGTTGTACCTCCTTATCTGTGCTGCTCGGCCCTGACTCTCAGGAAAGTCTTTCCTCTGATGGCCTCTGACTCTCTCTGATCTTGTATTGCCCGTGAATGACTCCAGGGTGGTACAGACCCCATGGGATTTCCAGGCTCCCAGGAAGCCAAGATTCTGTTTCCTCCCTGCTTGAGACATCTGTAGTTTATATACACCCTGGTCATCTGTGAGGCCTCTCCAAGCTGTTGTGTTTGGCCCCAACACTTCTCTGGGCTTCCTCACTAGCCCCTTCCGGTCATGTGGCCCCCATGCACTCAGGGTAGGTGATAAATCACACGTCCTCTAGTTCTGTCTCTTTAAAAGGGGTGATGTAGCTTTTTTCACACACCTTCACAAAAATAAATACCAGGTGAATCAGACAGTTAAGAGGTAAAAATAAAACTAGAGACCATTTAAAGAAGAGCATCAACTGCCTAGAGGTTTTTGGGAGAAATTAAAAGTAGCACCTGTGGGCTGCGCATAAGCTAGACAATCTATTTGAGAAGTGGAAGGAAAAATGAAGTCTTGTACATATAAATAAATGATAGATTTACTGTTGGTGAGAGAAATATCCAAGACAAACTTGATATTTCAGGATCT